ACTTTCACTATAAGTTGATGATTTATACACATATAAATCTATTATAACAAACAATATTAATTAAATCAGGTTTTTTTAGAGAAATATACATTATCTAATAAACATTAATTTTAACATAACTAAAATAATTTTCGAAATTTAAGTACAATTATTTTTTGTACACATAGACATAAAATCAAATATATTATTTTTTTATTCATATTGGTTTTTTTCAATAATTTAAAGCAATACAAGTACACTCGTAAGACTCTTAGGAGAGGTATACATCTCCTTAGAAACACAGTCTTTTTGACAGAAAAAGCGGGGATCCGAGGATCGCTTAGAACCCGATTTTTCCAGGTCATGGGGGGATCATGATGATCGCTTAAGACCTCATTTACTTAGACATGCATTTCTTTATAAAGAGTCTAAATAAGTGTTGTATTGTATTGATTTAAATTATTAGAAATAATCAATACAATTAACAATTAAGTAAATTATTGTACAAACAAATAAATTACGTTAAAAAAATAAAAATTACAAATGATGATAAATAATATGTACCTTGTGGTCGTTCTAAACGTCTCTTGAACGATGATTGGCTTGATCGTATAAAATAGTCGGATCAATCGGTCCTTGATCAACATAATATCGTTGATTGTATATATCAACATCCGACCCAACCTACAATAGCATTACAACAACATAAATCAATTAGTATATAAATTAAATAAGTCATTATAACAACAACAAAAATTGGGTAAAATGTGTACGTACTGCTTGATAATCATCATAGTAAATACCCTCTTCTTGGATAAAATCGGCCATTTTTTTCATAATCCGAAGAGAGATTCGACGGTTTTTTAGTGAAAACCAAAGAAAATTTTTTTTTAAGGCAGATCGGACTTACCGGCAACCAACAAAACACTACTTCTAAGGTTTGTGGGTGGGGAGGGGGGTGGGTAGAGTGAGGAACTTAGAGAGAGGGGGAATAGGGGTTTGGTGTGCATAAAATGGGAGGAGGGTGGGGGGTTTATTTAGGGACGAAACCGCGTGATGGAGGGGCGGTTTGGTCTTTTTTTCCCCACGCAAAACCGCGCCTCCAGCACGCGGTTTACGTTCCCCAACATGCAAACCGTGCCTCAGGGCAACGGTTTGACTGAGCGACGCGGATCGCTGCGCTGGCTGGCGGTTTGTCCGTCAGATCGTCTGCCCATCGCGCGGTAGCATGGGCCGCCACGTGGCGACGCATTTTGACAGCTACGAAGGGTCAAACCGCCCCTTGCCCACGCGGTCTGACTGTGAACCGCGCCTTCGAGGCGTGTTCTGTCTTAGAACCGCGCCTTCGAGGCGCGTTTTGTGTGGAAGGGTGGTATTTTTGGAAACTGTTGAGAATGAGTGGTATTTTTGTAAACTCTTTTAACAGTGGTAGTTTTGGATTTTTTCCGTCTTCTCCTTTCCATTCCATAGCCTACCTTCTTGCTCTCACCTTGCAGATCTTGGTGGTTCGGAGTTGCAACCTTGTCAACGGATGCGGATTTGGAGAGCTTGTAAACAGAAGATCGTCTCCCCTTTGTTTCCTCCGTCGGCCACCGATCGTGTCTGGGTTTCCATGGTTTCGAGTGGCGGGAGGCAGACGGTCGATTGGCTCGGGGTGGTTTGTTTGAAGACTTGTCTTCCTCATCCTGCCATCCGGGTTGGTGGAAACCCCTTCGCCTACCTGACGAACGGTGGCGATGTCCTCGGAGAGAGGCAGTGTCGCATGGAGTCGAGTGTGTGGCGGCGGCGGTTTTCGATCACGGCGGCGGGGATCCAGAGTGGGGTAATAGTGGCTAGGGTTGGGAGTTGGGGGATTGGTTTTGGTCCATGGCTTTGGGACCTATTGTGGTTCCAGGTTTTCGATGGGACTTATTTCTTTTCTGATTTTCAGCCATTGTCTGTATATTGTGTGTATCTTTTCCTTTGAGCCCAACCCATTGCATTCTTAATGAACCACTCATTAAAAAAAAAATCCAGCTCATGTCGCAAGGCTAATGTGCTAGAATAATAATAATATTTAATTTGTGTCATTAGTGGACTGGACGAAAATATCGACGAACGCACTTTAATCGGACTTATGTGGTATCCGATGCACCAAATTGAGTTAAGTGGTATGGATTCACCAAAAGCCAAACATAAATGACAGGCAACGCATTTTCCCAACACGGAATTAATGCACTGCCACTCGCATGTGCTCCTAATTTTTAATAACGACAAGTGTGCCCCTTTTATAAATCTGCATTAATTATGGTCAAACCATTAGAATAAAAACCAATCAAAACAAAATATTCATATTGATTGGAGGTAGTATTATGATCATGCTAACAAATTGGATCGGCGGGTTCTGTTTTAACATATGTGAATGTTCGGCTCTGTAGGCTGAGTTGTGGGCTTTTGAGAAAGGCTGGAGATGGCCTAGGGACATGGACACATGCTGCTTATCGTGGAATCAAACTTGCATGTAGCTATTGAGCTCATCCGACTCAGAACTGATAGAGTTCACCCGTATGCTGCTCTGCTGAATTCATGTAGGCGGCTTTTGGCCCAAGACTGGTTGGTTGACTTGGTTCATACATACCAAGAAGGGAATAGAATCGCTGACTGGTTCTCGAAACACAGTATCGTCTATCCTTACGTTATGCATGTTCTAGTTAACCCGCCGACATAACTTATGGACATCCTGAATGATGATGATCGGGGGCTAGTTATTCCCCTCAATGCAATTCCCCCCTCCCCCATCCTACGCTGTAACTCCTTCTCCTACTTTCTTGGTGCGTGCCTCCCACAAATCAAAGAAAAAAAAGACAAATTAGATGTTAGCATCCAAACCTTTACCTTCTAATTTTTTTGTACAGTCTGTTTATTTACCAATTTTTTCCTTATATTTTGACTATTCTTTCAATATGGTCTCTTTATTACAAAAAAGAACTTATCATTAATCTATAGTGACTAAGGGATCGTTTGGTAGTTACGATTGTTTTGGTGTGATTGTTACTATACATGTATTGTTTAGAATGCATCGTTGTTTTGATTTTTTTTGCAGAAACACTACATGGATTATTTTTGTGATGTGACAGAAACTATCACTCAAAATGAGGGATTGTTATATCTCAGCTTTTAGATGTGATTATTGAGATTGTTTTGTTTCAATTTTTAGATGATGTGATATACACAATCACAAGGTAAAATACCTCGGGTACCACTAAAGTTTCAGAATTGGTGGAGCTATACCACTTAACTAAAAATAGGGTATTGGGTTCCACTGAACTCTATTATATGTGCACCCGGTATCACTTAAGTTTACTGCTAATTGCATTCCGTTAAAGTTGACATAATATTCTTAGAATATTCCGTTTTCTAAATTTTATAATTGGTCCTTCAACTTTTCTTATTGTAAAAAAAAAACATTTGGACTTATGAAAATCATCATTTGTTAATTTTTAGTTGGATTCTAATAATTGAATAGTTCTTTGAAGCAAATATATTATATGAATTATATCTCAATATAAATAATCCGAGGATGTTATATTAAGTTCTCTTACATCATGTTGATGTTGTCTAATTTTCCATATTAAATGAGAGAGTCTAGTTGAGAGGATAAAATACACACTAGCTTATATTTCGGTATTGATCGGTATTTCGGTATATACCGATTCCAATCCCGTAATCCCTAATATTGAATAACAATTAAAATTCAATCCCAATCCCACGAAATAATACGTGTATTCGGTAATACCAAATATAGACAAATTCGGTACGGTATTCGGTATATCCCAAATACCGATACCAAACTTCCAGCTCTAATTCTAGCAATACTATGTTTAGAAGGTTATTTAATTTTTATATTATATAAAACTTGTTGAAATCTAGTTGTGGATGTTTTTAAAAAATTTGGGTACCAAAAAGTATTTAAAATTTTGGGTTGGATGGAAAACTAGACAGATGCACATTTTAACGACTTTAATGGTATATTGCGCCCTATTCAAATTTAAGTGGTATTTAAACCCCCAATTCTCAAACTTAAGTGGTCTCGAGGTATTTTATCTCACAATCACACATACCAAATGTTGTATTTTACAATACATCAAATTCGACAATACACATATAATATTATACATACATTCACAACAATACACCTATTTAACAATAATCACAACTTCCAAACGAAACATTTTAATTTTGTGGCACACCTTCTAAAGAATATTTTTCCTACCATCAATTTGTTTCCATTGTTTTTATGGTACAATAATCAACTTATTCCAAAATTAAAATAACCTCTTTCACCAAATACACATTCTAACACCAAATGTCAATCTTGCTATAAAAAATAAAAACGAGTGAAGACAGAAGGCAAAAGACATTGCATCCCCTCCCCCACCTTTATTAGGGGAAATGAAATGAAATGAGAAGAAAGAAGGAAAAAGGAAACCACAACTCATTACGAAAATCTAATTCCAACCCATATGCTTAATCAAGAGTGACCCCGAACCCACGACATTCCAGCCTCAAGAAAATTCAGGCGCCCTGAGTCTGATCTTCACCACCCACTACACCACTGCTCTTTCTCCCCCTTTTCATCTTTCAACCATGGTCGAGTTCCAGTCCGAAATCGTTTATAATACGTACAACGTCATTTATCGTTCGATCGAACATTGAACGCTCCATAATCGTCGAATGAATGCGTGACATATTTGTTCCATCCCCTTTATTAGATTGAAAAACAAGAAAAGCCGCCCTCTTTACTTACATTCACAGCACAGCAAAGCCAAACAAACTGGACACATCCCCTCTCCTTCTCTCCCTCATTAAAAACAGAATTTTTCCTCCCTCTCTCTTCTGCTTCTCCTTCTCCTTCCTCATTCACCATCGTCCCCACTTCCATTCGTACTTTTCTCTGCCTCCACAGCAGGATTAATTAAGAACAAACCCCGAAAAAGCAGAGGAGGCTCTCTGTTCTCGCCTCCCTCCTGTCATCTATCACAATGAAAATGGCCAAGGAGAGGGAGAAAGCAGTAGCAGCCGGCGGTGAGAAGAAGGTGTTTCTGGGAGTCGTGTGGAACTGCGCCGCAGAGCTCAAGCTCCTCTTAACCGCTCTCCTCATCCTCTGCTCCGTCGCCACCGTCCTCCAGTTCCTCCCTTCCCGCTTCACCATCTCCACCTCCGATCTACGCTTCTGCATCTCCCGAATCACCACCACTACCACCACCACCATCTCCACCGCCGCCGCCCTCTCCTCTCTCAATTCCTCCTCCTCCTCCGCCGCCGCTCACGCCGCTTCGCGTCTCGTCGTTAATCCGCCGCCGCCCCTCCCCGCTTCTCCCCCCGCCGTCGACAGGGATAGGGTGCTTGAAAACGGCGTAATCAAGCGCGTATTCAACCCGTACGGCTCCGCCGCCTACAATTTCATCACAATGGGGACTTACAGAGGCGGACTTAACACCTTCGCCATTAACGGTCTCGCTTCCAAGCCTCTCCACCTTTACTCCAAACCCACTTACCGGTGCGAGTGGGTACCCGAACCGTCGCCGCCGTCCAATTCCTCCAAGCCGATAACCACCGTCGGTTACAAGATGCTCCCCGATTGGGGGTACGGACGGGTCTACACCACCGTCATAGTTAACTGTACTTTCTCCGAGCCAATCAACGCCGGCAATTCCGGGGGCAAGCTCTACCTCCTCGCCTCCACTTCCGGCGGCGGCGACACCAAATTCGACGCCACCGACCGAATCCAGGTGCTGGAAGAGCCGAAAGGGAGCGTCGATTTCGAGGCTTTCGATCCCAATTCCAAGCCCAAGTACGACTACCTCTACTGCGGCTCGTCGCTGTACGGCAACCTGAGCCCGCAGAGGGTGAGGGAGTGGATCGCCTACCACGTGAGGCTGTTCGGGGAGAGATCCCACTTCGTCATCCACGACGCCGGCGGCGTCTACGACGAGGTGTTTGAGGTTCTGAAGCCGTGGATGGAATTGGGGTACGTGACGCTGCAGGACATCAGGGACCAAGAGAGGTTCGATGGATACTACCACAATCAGTTCATGGTGGTGAACGATTGCCTTCACCGCTACAAGTTCATGGCCAAGTGGATGTTCTTCTTCGATGTGGACGAGTTCATCTACGTCCCGCCTAAAAGCACCATCAAAACCGCCCTGGATTCGCTCTCTGAGTATTCCCAGTTCACCATTGAGCAGATGCCCATGAACAGCAAGCTCTGCCTCACCGCCGACTACGGCAGATACTACAGGTAACCCATTTCTCAATTTCGAGTTACCCTTTTTTCTATAACGCCATTACTTGAATTGGGTTTTGCCCTTTTCCTAATTTGTCTGCAATTATACATGTGACACCTTCACCGCCATTAATTTTGTGATTGACCGTCAATCCAGTCATAGATACATGCTAGTCATTGTGGTATAAACATAAAACTAGTGTTTATTTGCGCACAAATTGAAGAGATTCTCATTCTAGTCTGGAATTATTGTCGGTTTCCATAACATGGGGTTTGGAAGACTGTGATGGTGGGTGGTTGCTTGAATTCTACATTTGCCGGACTGTGGGGAAACGAAACAGAACAGCCCACAGGGGAATAATAATAAAGTATGCATTGAAAATGAATAAAGAAAGCATCCAAGAAGAAAGGAAGGAGAGGAGAGGAGAAATCCAGTGACCAGTGGTGGGTTGGAACTATTCTCATTCATTCCATTGACATGAAGGCCTCTTTCGTTGTCCTGTTCTGGTGTCCATGATCGAGACCCTTCTCTTACTTTGTCTGGGATTAGCTCTCTCTTTTTCCATTGTCCTTTTTCTCTTGTTGAGGAAGAATCCCCAAATGATCTCCAACTGCCATGAGAAAACTTCACACAAGCATTTTGATGAAATCAAGCGACCATCTTTCACTGGCATGGTTGGAATTCGGTTGAATTGAGAAAAGGGTTCTGCACAATGTGTGAATTAGAGTGGTGGGTTGATCTTAATCGCAGTTTTTTTGGGATGTAATTTTGGTTGCAGGAAATGGGGGATGGAGAAGCTGGTGTACAAAGATGTGAAGAGAGGGGTGAGGAGGGACCGGAAGTACGCGATCCAGCCGAGGAACGTGTACGCGACGGGGGTGCACATGTCGCAGAACCTGGTGGGGAAGACGAACCACAGGACGAACGGGAAGGTGAAGTACTACCATTACCACGGCTCCATCGCGCAGAGGAGAGAGCCGTGCAAGACGCTGCTGAACGTCAGCGAGACCTACTTCGAGAAGACGCCGTACGTGCTGGACACCACGATGAGGGACGTCGCCTGGGCGGTCAAGAAGTTCGAGCTCAAAATGATCGGAAACAGGCTGCAGAACACCCGGCAGTGAATCCGGCCGTCTCCGCCGGCCGGCCGGGCCAGACAGAAAGATTTTTTTACCGGGCGGCAAAAAGAAAAAAAGAAAAGAAGAATAACTAATTGTTTTGTTTTTGTCGTTTTGGGTTCTTTTCATAAATTAGGTTCCCTTCCTCTCCTTCTCTTCTCTTCTTTTTGGTTTAATTTATTTTTCTTCTTTTTTTATACATATGCCGACTCCCTCACTTTTATATATTTTTTGGTACATTATTTTATTGGACTTACAGGAGGATTCATATATAAATTACGGGGGAGTTTCTTCTTCTGCTTCCTCTTTCTTGGGCTGTATAAAATAATTGATGAATAATTTAAATAATTTAATAGAATCGAGTACAGGTAAATAGGTGTTTTTTTCGCCATTCCTTTCCTTTCTAAGATTCTGATGCCTAATTTATATATATATATATATATATGGTGACTTCTACGGTACCCCGGCTGAAATTCGGGGTATCGCATACCTTGAGTATGAAAACACTATCTAAACCTTGAATTAGCAGGATTTTTGGACATGATACTATATCCTAACCCTCAATGAGTGAACCCTATGTCATAATTATCTAAATCATAAACTATAAACTCTAAGATGGTGCATTGATTTTTTTGCGTATATTTGGAGGAATCATGACCGTCGATTATTATTTCTAATTAAATTGATATTGGGGTATTAGGGATGGCAAATTACCCACCCATGGGTAAATATACCCAAACCCAAGTAGACCCATTGATAATGGGTTGGTTATGGGTGAAGTGCATATGGATTTGGGGGTTTATAGATGGGTTTGGGTTTGGGGCTTCCATAATCTAAATGGGTATGGGTTGGATATGGATATCCATTTACTTGAGGGTGTTTTAACTACACATGCAAAAATTGGACCTATTTGCAAAACTTGAAAAGTCTAGGTACCAAAATGTAAGACCAAAAAAAATTAGGTACCAAAACGTAATTTTCCATCGAAATTTTGAGGACTTATATGCAAAAAAAATTAAATTTAGGTACTAAATATGCATGTCTGTTAAGTTTGGGTACCAAACTGGAATTTGTATTTGGACATAGGTACAAACCCAAATCCATTTGATATAAACCCAACTCAACCCAAAGTAAATGGGTATGGGTACAAACCCATCAAACTCTACCCATATCCATCTATTTGAATTTCATACCCAACCCAATTGGGTTGGATAGTAAGAAACCCATGGGTATGGGCAAAGTTGCCATCCCTATGGGGTATAATATTAAGAGAACTAAGACCTAGATTTTGATCTTTAAGAGTTAGAGTCTTTCCTGTGTAAGTGTAAGGAAATAGAAACCCATGTCCGAAAGATCAGTCAATTCAAGTTCTGGATAACATTTTCTTACTCAAGGTATACGATACCCCGGATTTCACCCTGGGTACCATAGAACTCCCCACATATACATATATATAGCTTTCTTTACATCATAGCTAGCCAATCCAGCTACGATGTTAACACTTAACAGGCGTTTTGCAATTGGATTTAATCGCGCACAACTATAGTCCATAAAACCGTACCGGTATCGGAATAGTCAGAGAAATAATATTTTATGATAAAATCGTGGTTTAATCGTAGTTCAATCGTTAGTATAAATATCACTTACTGGTTTAGCCTCCGATATTGATATTTCGTGGTTGCACCACTGGTACAGTACGGTTTCACCGACGATGCGCACAACTTCTGTGAGAATGTACTAATAGATTGTGTTGTTAGTATTATATTCGAATTCGTAGCTAGTCATCGAGCTGCTTATCTTCTATTGGGCTCTATGACCATTGTATACTAACATGGCTTTATTTCTCTAATGATTATATTGCATATGGACATATGGTCTCGTTGCTATCACCGAAATGGGTTTCACAAACTCTTTACCAAAGAAAATGGGGTACATACACTAATGATGTTTTATAAAAGCAAGATCTTATTTTTATCGTTACGTTTACTTTTAGGTAAAGTTATCGTTTTTTTTTTTGCCAAGTAGTTTGATCCATAGATGATTGCTGACAAGGGATAATTTAGTTAAATATAGTATTAATATTTAAAATTGTGGAGCCTCTTGATGATAGTAAGCTCTTATTTTGTGCGAAGACCTAATTCATCTCACTCATTCAATTTAGGGCAAATACAATATAATCGGCAAAATTTTCTTTTTGAACAAAATAATAGATACACATTTCCGAAAATAAATTAATAATCAAACCGTCAACTTTTCATCTGATTGACTTGTAGTTGACTCTGACATTGTAAAATTTTAGATGAGCTGGATGAATTTTGCTAATGTGGCAAAAAGTCAAACATTTGACCATGCTGCATGGATATTACATAATTTTATAAAATAATTTGGTTTTCCAGTAAAAAAAAATATGGGAATTTCTCATAAGTAATTTAAAAAATTGAGCAGGAGAGCCAAATGAATCAAAAGATTCATGTTTGGTTTGGGAAGGGGTCATGGATGAATGAAGCATTCATGATTCAAATTGCTTGGTTGGTTGACTGTGACAGCCCAGAAGGGACGAAATTTGTCTAGATGAAACGAGTTCATCATGATCTATTATATCGAGAAAAAAATTGGGGGAAAAATTTTCAAGACCAAATATACCACTTTATACCACCCTAGTATAGAGTGGTAATTTGTGGTAAACGGTGTTGAAATGTGATAAATGAAGATTAGTATATTCCTGTTATCATGTATGCAACCATTTTACTCTCTGCTATGTTCATACTATCATGATACACTTTCATACCATGTTGTATAATCTTATGCAGTACAAAACATTATCACATGGTATAAACTGATAATAAATGTCATAATTTTTTTTATTTTAAAATATATCAAAACGAATGTCATCTTTAAGAACACAATTAATTTAAAAAATTTACCGGTGAAAATAAAATATAAACTTAAAACAAAATAATACAATCCACTAAAATTATTTGAAAAAATTAGTTACCTTTCTATAAATAATAATTTTAGAATTGCACATGATTACAGATTACTTACCATAAAGTTATCAACAATATCGTCTCCCTCAGATTGAATGGTCGATTCCTTGATTTGGTGTGGTGTCGACGAGAGAGGGAGGAACCGGAACGGTGGCCGGAGGCAATAGGAGATGGGGTCCAGGTTGTTCAATTTTGGGCAATATATATATATGGTGCCTTCTACGGTACTCCGGGTGAAATCCGGGGTACCGGATACCTTGAGTATAAACACGCTATCTAGATCTAGAATTAGCAGGATTTTTTGGCATGATACTATACCCTGACCCTTAATGAGCGAACCCTAGGTCCTAATTATCTAAAATCATAAACTATAAACCTTCATATGGTGCATTGATTTTTTTGCCTATATTTGGACGAATCATAACCGTCGATTATTGTTTCTAATTAAATTGATCTTGGGGTATAAGATTTAGAGAATTAAGACCTAGATTTTGATCTTTAAGGGTTAGAGTATAGTATCATGTCCGAAAGATCAGGCAATTCAAGTTTTGGATAGCGTTTTCTTACTCAAGGTACGCGGTACCCCGGATATATATATATATATATATATGGTGACTACTTCGGTGCACTCACAAAAATGAGTGCGTTCAATGCACCCAACTCAAAAACTAGTCTTAAGGAGTCGGATTTTGAATTTTAATTTGTAGAATTAGTATAATATGATGATATAACATATGATAACAACTAATTAGCGGATTACCCTAAGCCCTAGACCTCCAATTTTGAGTTCTATCCCTAAACCCCAAATTGTAAACCCTAACCCTAACCCTAAATCTCTAAACTGTAAATCCTTCAAATTAAAGTAAATCTTTAATGGTTTTTGTGCAAATTCATGTGCGTTATTGTTCATCACATCATAAGTGATGATTGACATCATTTTGACATGAATCGCATATTTAAAATGACGGTTATGAAGTGGGTGCACTGAATGCACCCAAAAAAGTGGGTGCACCGAAGACGTCACCATATATATATATATATATATATATATATCTCTTTTTCTTCTCCAATCTCCACTTTGGCCGTCGTCAATCGTGGTCAATGCATGTGGGGGATTATGATGGTTGTTTCGTTGTTGCCAATGATCACACTTTCTCCTTTTCTGTTTCTTTAGCTACTGATAGCAACAGATTCTGTCATTTCTGCCTGTTTTTAGGTTTGGTTTCATTCCCTCCTCCGACAATCTTAATTATTAATTTATTATGCACTGTAATTGAATATTCTAATAAATTTTTTCATATGAATTTATGATTTATCAGCTATAAAAGAAATTTCAAGGCAGTTCATGTTTGCATAAAAATGCTAAGATTGTGTTTGGATAAGGTGCTCAATGAAGTGAAGACGTATGCTCGTGATGGGTGCATTTTAGATGGCATTTCTCAACTTATAAATTGTTTCCGCCATGTAAGCTTGAGATTTGTAGGTCATGAAAGAAACAAGATTGCTCATTTGGTGCCAAAAGAAACTCCTTTAGAGTTCCCTTATTTAGTAGTAGGGTTCTTTATTTGTTGTTGGATTCATTCAGTTTTGTGATTCTTCGTGCTTTTCTTGTATACTTCTCATTGTAAATTCTGACTTGCTCATTGTTGTACTTGTACTTTCATTCATAATACCTCCATAAACTATGTTGCTTGAAGAATTTTTTTTGTTTTTTTGTTTTACTAGCACTTAGGTTCTTCACTTCTACCTCCTCCTTCCAATCTTTCTGTGCTCTTGCTATTTACTTTCCCAATTCATTATATGCTTTCTTTCTAAGATGGCTTTCTTTGGTTTAGGGTGGTTATGCATGTGTATAAGTAGATCCAATCCTTTAATTTTGAGTGATGACATATTAAGAGATGATATTAAAAGATTTTTATATTTCTAATTAATTTTTATAATCTTTTTCTGACTCAAATTTTGATTTTTTTTTACACAAATGAAACAGATTCATTGCGATATACAAAATCACATTCATTTTCTATCAATTAAAAAAAATTACTAAACTGATACCACTTCGTATCACTTCACTTTTAACTCAAATTTAAAATTTGTTTGCACATAAGGAATGGTCACATCATGATTTATTATAATCTAAAAATTCTTGGAATTTTTTTATATGCCATATATACCACCTTATAACATCCTGGTATAGGGTGGTAATTGAAGATAGACAGTGGTGAAAGGTGAGAAACGTTGGTTAATATATTTCTATTGTCGTGCATATAACCATTATATATTATGATATATTCATACCATTATGGCACACTTGCATACCATTATAGTATGATTTTATATATTATCAAACAGTACTATCATGGTATCGACTGATAATTTATTTCAAAATATATCGAAGTGAATGTCATTTTTAAGAATGAATAATTTATTTATTTTATTTTTTTGTAAAAATTTGAACTTCAATTTAAAACAAAAAAATATAGTACGATATATTAAATTAGAGGTTTGTCTGGTCCCATTGTAGTTTGGGTAGGCAGAGTTTTTGCTAGCGTATTTATTTATAGATAAAGGAGGGAGACAATAGGATGGAAGAGCATGCAAATGCAATATGGAGAAGTGAGAAGCGGCACAGTTGCCTTTTGTTTTGTGATTTTGTCTCAGCTAAATTTAGTTTTGCCATCACGGGGGACATAGACTGCACTTGATATCTTACAACATTACTATTTCCCAGATAAAAAGAAAAAGAAGGATTTCTATTTTTATTTAATGTACATGTGGCAATGCTAATTTCGAGTCTGTGCTGCCTGCGTACCTTAGTTCTTCCTTCCCTAACACCAGGAGGAGGCGGCAATATTCCACTTCCAAGTCCAGTTTTCATTTTCAACCTTAGTGGGTCATGCTCTTCATGCATCATAACCCAAAATGCCTTTCATAGATAATGCCTAATAAAGAAATACAAACTAATACAATCATTGTTTTTATAAAAAAAAGCCGCGACAAATTTTCATATTGTGAAATAAACGGAAAATACATTGTCTACACTATTAATTAAGTACTTTTCAATGCATCCCACTAAACAATCACTAGCAAACCGGTCACTAATTCCAATTCGAAACTTGTTCTCAATATAACTCAAAATTGAAAACCAGATGTTCTTTCCACACTTGCAGTTGCAACGACTAGAATCAGAACTAGTTTCAGAAGCAAATAAATTAATGGATATGCTGGCGAGGTTGAACAGGCGCGACCGCCGACGAGGAAAGAGAGAATGTGGAATCGTCGTTGTCGCATTTCTTCAGGGACGGTTGCTGAGCAGAATCGAATAGACCTAACGATAAAAGGGATCGATCGTGATTGATTAGGGATTTATTCCGATTGAGGATTTTGTTCAAGTGTAATAAATTAATTTCATGCTAAGTCGATAAACAAAAAAAATGAGTCGTTGTAATGTAGCTTCCTCCATTCATTTCCAGGTCGCATAGATGTAGGAAAATGAACCATTTATTATTTTGGCCTTAATTGTTTACTCATATTCTCGTGTGGGAAAGGAAGGGATGAATATGCTGAGTCGAGAGTTAACAGCATGTGAGAAAACAGAGTGATGAGCCTGGAAGGTGAAGGGGATGAATATGCTGTCTTTGTGGATTTCAAATAATTTGGCTGGATTCGCAGCTAATTAAGCTAGGCTGTGTATTATATGAATACAGATGTCATGATGCGTAACATTGCTGGTCTCAAGCTTGTCCTTTTACTTCATCCCTGCATGCTCCGTATCTGATCTCCAGATCATGCTGTCAACCAAGGATGATACATTTTCCATCCCAAGTAGAGATATATAGGAGGCAGTTTTGCTTTCCGGTGACGAAATCGTGTTTGCTTCTACTTTCTAGAGAGAGGGTTTGGATTTTAGTTTTTACCCTTTCCGCTTAGTACCGAATGATGATCTCACATTTGATAACACATTCAAGTTATCGGGTTAATTTCAAGAATATTTTTTATGCAAAATACACTTGTATAGTCAAAATTTTCGCGTTTTTGCCAATAATAGTCAAATTTGAAGATACCACTTATAGCCACTTCCGTCCAATACTTTAACGGTGTCATCTAACAGGCTGACTGGACTAACGGAAATTCTGATTTGGCGACGTTTCATTACCAACAATACCTCGTAGATTAATAATAAATAAATAAATATAAAATTTAATGAAAATAAAAAATAAATTGACGAAAACAAAAATAATGAAAAGGAAACCAATTTAATAAAAAAGACTCCCAATCCCTAGACCTACCCTCTCCGCCGTCCCCATTCTCCATTGCCCATCATCTTCCAAAACCTACCCGGACTCCCCAATCCCTCCGCCTACCCAGACTCTTCTTCTCTCTTTCAAATTCCTTCACCTACCCTCTCTGCCAGACCCTTCTTCTCACCCACTGATAGACCTGGCAAATTACAACCCGACCCATTGACCCGGCCCGAAACCGCCCGAAAACTAGAAGTTTTTGTAACCCAAAATCCGAATGGCCCGAACCCGATAACCCGTGAATTTTTGGGTCGGGTTGGGTGGTTTAGCGTGTCTACCCGTTAGATCCGTTCCATTTTATATAACACTCTCAAAATGATAAAATCACTAATAAATTGGTGAGATGTTTAAAAAAATCACAAGGATTTGAATGACATGTTTGGAGTTTACGGATAATCAAATATCATGTGTTTCTTGTAGTAGTATTACTCTTGTGATTGTTTTTTGACGATTTGCGCAATTTGTATTTCATTTAATTGGCGTGAGAGGATTTGAGAATATGCTAATTGACATGTGTTAGGTAAACTATTGTCATGCATATGTGAAAATTTGTGTTCTTTAAAAAAAATATGAAGCATGTTTGATATTGTTTCTGAGAAGGCTCATAACCCGAAATGACCTGTAACCCGACCCGAAACCGAATGGGTTGGATCAATATTTGACTCGAAATCAGCCAACCAAATATGACCCGACCCGTAACCAAAGTCCCCGACCCGGATTGCCAAGTCTACCCACTGAGCATGGCGCCACCCATAAATAAATCCCCACCCCTAAATAAATCCCCACCCAAAACTCTCCACCTCGCCATTGCTCTCTATGTCGACGAGGCTCGAAGACCCATCGGAGGATTCTCGGCGCCGCGCATCTCCCCTGCCATGCCGGGATTGAAGAAGATGCAAGAGGTGGAGAGGTTGAAGAATCTATGGAGGCACCGGAAAAGTGCAGTTAACGTCGGGCGCCGAACGAGCAGACACAGCTTCACCGCCGTAGATTGCTTCACGGCCAGCAAACGCTGATCTTGACTGTCTGCTCTCCCAGCTTCTCCTTTGTTGCCTTCCGGGTTGTTCATCGTCGAATCTCGTCAATTTGGGTCAAATCTCAGCATCCAGAAGGAAGGATTTGGCCATAATAAGAATTCGTCTCATCTCGGATTGGGGCAAGCGCATCACCCATGACGAGGAATGATGGCTGGTTGCTGATAAACTCATTTCGGGAGCAGATCTAAAACGGTGGATGTGAGCAGATCGGCGAGAGAGAGAGAGCAATGTTTATGTATCCTATATTTTATCTTTTTTTTTCCAATTAGTGGGAAGTAAAATGAAAGAGAACGGTTGGACTCATATGAGGGTGGGGAAAATAAATTAATTTTTTTATTAATTGATGATGTGTAAATATTGAATAATTTTAATATATGACGTGTCACTTTTGGCTTATTTGGCGCCGACGTGTCCGTTGAGTTGGTGTCTAGTCACCAAACTGTCAAAGTATCTAACGGATATGACTATATTTGTCCTACAAGAAGTTTAAAATCTGGCTATAAGTGGTATTTCTCCAAATTTGGCTATTATTGACACAAGCTCGAAAGTTTTGGCTATACAAGTGTATTTTGCCTATTTAAAAAAAAATATCATGAATATGGTTGTTTAGAAAGTATTTACACAAATATTGTGTTTTGAAGTAATGAGAATGCGAATTCGCGAGAGTTGGAAAAATAAACCCAGCTAAAGCGAATCCGCCCCAGCTCACGCGGATCCACTGAGAGAGTTCTTTCCTTTACTCCATATGTGTTTGCGTAAGCTCGCGCGAATTCGTGGTTCTGCTTTCTCCTTTTCGTGCACTCTGACAGGGAACCACCCATGCCAATACCCGTGAGCTCCCTTTATCCCCCTTTCTTACCACCATATAAGCCGGTTTAAGATTCAGTATTGCTCACCACAAAAAAACATATGTTACGGAGCAGATGAAAGAGCTCTCCTGGTTGTTGCAAAGATGGCTAATAGGTAACACAATTTACTTTGATTCTTGAAATTCTATTATGATTTTGTTTAGTTAGTAATTAGTGAATTTATTTTTTTTAGTGATTTTAGACGATTTGAACTAATCGTTCGGTGAAAATCGGAAAAAGTAGAGAACAATTTGAGCTTTCATTTCGTTGGTGGTAGAAGCTTTTAATTGACAGTTCCATGCATGGTGACATATCACTAATTTTGTGAGAATCTAGTTTTGAGGATACGGTGTAATGACGAAGCAGTACAATATAGTGATATGATCACAGGTTTCACTTACAAACTTCAAGAATGGTGTTCTATTTCATCGTGTGATTCCTATTGTGGATGATGATAGCTTGAATATGCTTTTCAATTTAATGGTACAAAATCCTAATTGTTTGGGTGCTGAGATTAGTCAGGGTCAAGGTGAAGATGATACATGGAGTGTGCCATCTAATGATGAATATGATGACAGAGAGGAGGAAGAAGAAAAAGAATAGCCTAATTATCCTCCAGAATTTTACTTGCAGGATAATGAAGAGTACAATGAATTATCATATGTTGATTCATATGCCGTAATTCCAATTCCTATTGTTGTTGGTTTCGAAAGAAAATTCTACAAGGGACAGATATTTCACTCCAAACAAGCTGCAAAGTTGACGATTATATATCACGTACTACAACGCAACTTTCAGTATGTCGTGGTAGAGTCGACACCTTCAATCTGGAAGGTCAAATGCTTGAAGCACAAAGATGACAATTGTGCTTGGATGGTGCGGTTTGGATGTCAAGATGTTGAAAGCAAATGCACTGTGAGAAAGGCCCAATTGATGCATTCGCGTAGCAGTACCACTCAACCGACGGATCATCATCATCTTGATGTCGACGTTATATCTGAGTCTGTCAAGCGTTTGGTACGTGCCCAACCAAATCTTAGTGTTCTAACTATGCAGGCCGAGTTGAAAGATAAGTTTCATATGGAAGTTACTTTCAAGAAGGCTTGGTGTGGGAAACAAATAGCATTAGAGAAGTTGCATGGAAATTGGGAAGAATCTTACGATTATTTGCAAACGTTCTTGTGGGTGCCAAACGTTTTTTACTGGATAACACTCCTCATCTGGTATATCTACTATGACAGGATCACTTTCGATCAGTAGACCGGCCAGTGTCGCAACGTCCTCTAAAGTGATCGTAACCTCACCAAAAGACAAGTGGAAAATCGGTGACTCTCGCAATGCTCAACGAGCGTAGTGATCAAACATGGATCAGCGGTCGTAGGGACCAATGACAAAACACTAATCAAGCCCCCTCGATCAAGTATGACTGATAATGTGGATGGTACGTGACTATACACTACAGGTTGTACCTCGAATCTGGTAAACTCGATCACCAGCCTATAGTGCACAAAACTGATATTAATTCAATATCTTTCGTAATTCTAATTTCAGTTCACATAGTAAAATCTATCTAATATAAACTTATACTAATTTCAAGACATTTCATACGCAATTATAATTTCAGTTCAGCTAGTAAAATATATCTAATCTAAACATCTATCTAATCTAACTTATACTAATTTCAAAAAAATTCATACGTATTATTATTTCAGCTCACCTAGTAAAATCTATCTAATCTAAATATCTAATCTAACTAGCTAATGAACTTTAAAGAAAATTTGTTATGAAAGACTTACCTCATTTGCCCAAACTGTGTCGGCACCTTGTTGACCATGTGCCCAAAGAAGTACCGAATCGACCGGAGTTGTATCAATTGTCGCAGAGGGTCGCCTCATTGAATAATTATCCAAAACTCTAGGAGCTGAAAAACAACAAACAAAACAAAATTAATAAAAATAAACAGAATAGTAACAACTCGCTGCCGGCAAGAATCTAGCCCCCGCCGGCGAGGAACTTTACCTCGGTACCGGCCGCCGCCGCCACGAGATCGCCAACCTTTTCCACGACCCTTCCTCTTTCGGCGACCTCTTCGTCGGAATGGTCAGAATCTGACATCCTCCTCTGAATCTGGTGCTGGGAGACTCGCGTGAGAAAATGGAAGATAGGAGGAGGTTCTGGCAGGTTCGCGTAAGCTGTGGGTAGGAGGAGTAATCGTTACGCGGGTCCGCGTTAGCTGGTGGAGGGAGGAGAAAGGGTGTGGCGGGTCCGCTGTGGCTAGAAGAAAGAGGAGGAAGGGGGAGGCGTGTACGCGCAAGGTGGATATAAGTGGTGGTGGGTTGGTCTGTGTGGGTAAGGTAGGTGGGAGAGTGTTTAAAACGATCAAAAAGCAGCAAGAGTATATCCGCATGAGCCCACGCGGATTCGCCGGGGAAGGATTATCTTATCCGCACTTCCGACAGCCCATCGATAATTATAGCCGACACACCTTCATTAGATTGAAAGAACTTTATTATTGAAACAAATCAATCTTAAATTTAATTAACAATAACTCCTTTATAATTTGTTTAAAAAACTCATAATCCTATTAATTGCTATTAAAAAACCCCGCAGACCCATGCCAATGTACATGTGTGATGGGCCTAGTCCTTTCATTAAGAGAGAAACAAAAAAACCACCAAGCTCAAGCGGCCATAGCCGAGATCCACCAGAATATTTGCTTCTGAAGTTGGTGTTGACTTTATCTGTTGCAACTGCAAGCTGCGAAAAAATATTTTCTATGAAGATAATCAAGAACGATCTTCGAAATCGATTGAGTGTCCAATTTATGAATGATTGTTTAGTTATGTATATCGAAAAAGATTTACTTTGCAACATAAGTGATGAATGTATTTTAGATACATTTCAATAGATGAAAAGTCGTCGTGATTCATTGTAAACATAACATTGTGAACATAATAAATTAATTTCTATTTAATTTATTAATTATTATTATATTTTAGGGTGCGCCTATGGTGACATGCCTGTCACCGTAACTTGCACTTTTCGGTCAACCTCAGTTAGGATTAGGTCGACCTAATATGTTGTTTCGGTGTAAAAATAGTTTCATAGTGCGTACTTTGGAGATTCATATCTTACAATTGGCTCGATGAAAATTGGAGATTAATGGCTTATTTTGAAGCTGGAGTGTCCCTCTACAGATTGAAGTGCTGGGAGATCGATAGGAAGTCTAGAAGACCATTTTTGAACCTAATCAAAAGGCTATGCCAAACTGGGAAAATGGCTGAAAATGGGTAAGTTTTGGAAAGTGTTTGTGAAGTCTACTTTGGAGCTCAATTCGAGAAGCATGGATGAGATTCGAGTCCAGGGGCCTCTACCACATGAAAGTAACAAAGTCAAGGCATGGGATGAAATATTGGTTATCTAGAAGGATTCAAACAAAAAGCTCGAAGTTGCTACGAAGTAAGTTGCCTTCTAGCACAAGACTGAAATGGCAGATTAGGTCGACCTAATCCTATATGAGGTCGACCTAAAAGTGCAAGTTGCGGTGACATGCATGGCACCGTAGTAAAGTCCTATATTTTATCAGCGACACACCTATGAGACAATCCCGGGTCCGCCACTGGTTCACGTAGGTTGGGTAGATTATCTCTGCTCGCGCGGACTTGCCTTTTCTCGTCTTCAAGACACTATATATATAATTTTTAATCCGCCATATTGGTGGTAAATTTTTTAAAAAACAATATTTTGAAAATTTACCTAACTTATCTGGCAGATATTGTCTATAGACTAAAACTTAATGATATTTTTATGCTTTTGGGGGAAGCCTTTGCAATGTGTACAACTACAAGTGTGAAGTGCCACTTCTGGCTTTGACATTTACACGCAACCTGCTTCACTAAAACCCTTGATATTTTGGGAATATCATAGCTACAAATATATATACTGAATCTGTCGACCTAGGTCAGCAGCCAAATCAGATGGTGTCCATGCATCCTCCTCTGTTAGATCGAACCTAACCTAGATACATCTAAACAGCTGTACAGCCAGCCTACACGATGAACAAATTGATTAGTAGGACCAATTTTAATGTCCTCCGCTATCTCCCTTATTCTTTTTTTTTTCTTTTTAATTTCCTCGTCTAACAAGGTAGCATGTGTTGTGTAAACCGTCCTAATCAAATAATATAATTCGATTTGAAAACAATTGATATATACTTAATCATAAGCCACCAGCAAACAAAAGTTGCAGGCCCAGTAGTAAAGCATTGCTTTCAGGAGGCTGGCTGGCTACCTCTTTGCTGCTTCTCAAATCAATGCTTTTCAACTCCATAGAAAGATAAAGTTTTGCTTGCCTTACTAGTTTCCTTCCTTCGTTTCCTTTCTGCCCTTTTCGTTGTCAAACAAAACAATGGATGGGAAGTGAGTGCTTGGCTTTTCCCTTGCCAGTTGCCATTTGCCAAGTTTCTCTCATTTAATAACAAGGTCAGCTTTTCTTCCTTTTGGGAGCTATGGGCTGGGTGGGTGCCGAATTTTGATGCTTGAGGATGAGGTTTACGATGGAAGAAAGGAACAAAAACCAGAGAGAAATGGGGTAGTAGTTGCTCCTCCTATCCATCTTTTCGCTATATAAATAATGGCTAAATTCCAAGTTTGGCCACTAGTTTTACTAAATCGTGTCATATTTAGTCATTGAAGAAAATTAATATCAATAATGGTCACTCGAATTACTGAAACAGTTCACATATAGGCACTCTCCGTTAGTCTCCGTCCAACTCCATTAATAGAGTATGCTATGTGCTGATATAGCTAACGGAATAGCCTAGTCATCGTCATTTTGGGATGGGGAATGCGTTAGCCTGGTTTCTTTTTTTTAAGTAGCCACCATGGCTACCTCCTTTTTGGCCATACAGATTAGGGAAATTCAATCTGAGGGCCCATATTGTTGAAGGGTGTTTTGGGAAGGGACCACAGGATCATTACTGGGCCCGAAATCAAAGCCTTGCCCCACGCTTCCTTGTTTCTTTCCTTCTCAACGCATTCCCCCAAAACCCTTTTCCCTTTTGCAGAGAGCAGAAGGTTCTTTTCCGCCGCCTCTGATAACACGTTCGCCCCGTCCTCGATCAAGGGTTCGGAGCCACCATCCGTGCGATTAACGGCATCGAGTGTAACGGCGGCAACGCGCACGCCGTCCAGGCGAGGGTGGGATTCTACAACACGTACTGCCAGAGGTTTTCTGTCCGCCGCCGCATTGGAGAACCCTTTTCCGTTGTATTCTCTGTCCGTCGCCGTGCACTCTCTCTGGCGCCGTGGTCTCTCTCCGGCGGCGTGGTATCTTCTGGCGTCGTTGTAGTGTTATGCTCGAATGGTATTCTTTATTGTTGTTTTCTTTCATGCATTGGTAGTTTTCTGCATTGATGTGGATTGGTAGTCTTCATTTGGATTGGTAGTTTTTTACTGTTTTCATTCCTGCATTGGTAGTTTTCTGCATACATGTGAAACCGTGCTTTTTGATGTGGATTGGTACTGTTCTGTTCGAATGGTAGTTTTTTAGTTTTTTGAATGGTAGTTTCCTTTCATGCATTGGTAGTTTTCTCCATACATGTGAATCTGGTAGTTTGATGTGGATTGGTAGTCTTCATTTGGATTGGTAGTTTTATTACTGTTTTGAATTGTTGTGTCATGTTGGATTGGTATCTTCATTTGGATTGGTAGTTTTTTACTGTTTTCATTCATGCATTGGTAGTTTTCTGCATACATGCGAAATCGTGCATTTTGATGTGGATTGGTACTGTTCTGTTCGAATGGTAGTTTTTTTGAATGGTGGTTTCCTTTCATGCATTGGTAGTTTCCTCCATACATGTGAATCTGGTGTTTGATGTGGACTGGTAGTCTTCATTTGGATTGGTAGTTTTTTCCCATGCAATGTTTGTGATGCTTGATTAATGTTAAACGACTTACCTCCCATTTTCCCAATTTTAGGAATGGCAAGAACCAAGAACCCCAGTCGTAGGGGCTCAAAACACAAGGAACCTGTTACCTACAGCAGTCGTCAGGTTCAAGTTGGAAGTGGGCAACCCTCTGCCCTTGATGAACCTGTGCCGCAGAAGGATATGGGTAAATCTAAACCACCTGGGAAGAAGTGCAGCCCCGCATCGATTATATCAATTGTCGAGAATGGTATAACAAATGCAAGGATAGAACTAATAAAGAAGCTCGGATTGGATTTTGTTTTCCATTTGAAGATGAAAAGGTTTGACAGCGAGCTGCTTATCTGGTTGGTTGACCATTTCAATGGGGACAGCATGCCGATTCAGCTTTACATCCAAACCGAGTCTCGCCCCTCTTCCTCTTCTTATTAGGTTCTGTGTCTACCACAACACCGACATTCTTTGGATCCAGCGTGCTCCCTGTTTTGAACCCTTCTTTATTGCACCGTGCTCCAAAGTAAAACACCTTCCGTTCCTTAAGATATTTGGGTTTTCGAGTCTGTTCTCCAATACGTCTTACTCCAAAACCCCTCCAGTGTGCGAAGTCTTTATAGAACTTGACAAATGCTTCCCTATTTTCAAATCTCAAATGCTGCCATGTCGATTTGTCGGCCGGGACAACTTTATACACCTGATCTGCAATTTGTAAAATAACAATTAATCACTACCATTCCAATAAATCATACTACAACTAACAAAGCACTACCATTGTAGTAGCTAATACAAAAGTCAGAACCAATACCAATCCAATCAAACGAATACCAATGCGATAGGAACTACCAATAACAATCCAACCTATACCAATGTAAGGACTACCATTATTCCTAAACAAGTACGTAACAATACCAATCCGAAACATGTATGCAGAAAACTACCACTGCATGAAAGGACTACCACTGCATGGAAAACTTCACCTTCACCTCCGTCAGAACTGTCACAATCGTCCCCTACAAAGCCTTCTTCCACAGATTGATCTCTGACGATACCAGACCCTTTGCAAGGATTTCCGACCAAAAGGGATGTTAACTTTTTGCCGTTCAAGCAAAAGCATACAATCATGAATGGGTTACATACTTACCGTCGTCGCTTTGGATCGCCATATCGTCTTCCTCGCCACCAGAAATAGGACTTTCTCCGAACAACACTTCCATTGCTAGCCTTCTACGCTCTACCACATCCGGCGATGATGCAACGTCGGTGGTCGCCATTGATGCAACGTCGGCGATGATGCAACGCCGGCAAAAAAAGTGGACTTGGCAGTGTACACGGCGGCAGAAATAGGGCCGGCCAAAAAACGTGGCCTTTGAAAAGCCCTACTCTGATTAAACTACCTAATAATTAAATACCGTAATTATCTCTTCCTAATTAATTGCGTAATTAAAATGGTAGTTTGAATTAGGATGGAAGCAAAATACCCTTCTTATCCCTAGTAACCACCGTGATTACTATCAGTAAGTATCCATCATAACTGGAAATGGTGAAAATCGATGCACGTCCTATGCCCAACCCATTAACCCAACCTGACCCATGAACCAAACCCTAAAATGCAAAATAGATTTGGTTAAGGGACCATTTTCAGTGATTTCTTTCTCCTTCCTCACGATCCCTAGTTTGTACCTCTTTCATTTTTAGCAACGGTCCCCAAGACTTGCTATAATATGCTCGAAAGAAGGAAAAGCAGTATTGGCGCCGGTAATCTCAGATTGAACGGCGTCGTCGTTGTTGTTGCTGCCCTTGTGATGGGTTAGGGGGAGGAGCAGATGAACTTTGCCCATATTCAGAGAGTCTCTTTTTGATGTGCAGATAGGAACTCGCGGGGTGGGTTTCTCGAGGGAGGCGAATTGGATCTGACCTGGGTTGGGTTTTGCGGCCGCCACATCTCTTCTTTGTGCTTGAGACTCTCCCTGACATCTTTGAGGAATGAGGTGGGTAAGGGCCTGGTTTCAGTAGTAGGCTGGGATCCGAGAAGGGACCGTTGTCATCGGGAGGAGCGTTGGAAAGGGAGAAGAAGAACCAAAACCCCTCTTTTAGTCCCGCTGACTACGACTCCGACCGCCACGCTGCCTCCGCCTCCACGACTGCTCTCCAACTTTGGCGATGTCGTGGAGGAGATTTGTGGCTCTATGAAGCAGATGCGACAAATGGTTGCCACGGGGACGACATTAGAGGAGGCAAATTAGAGGAGGCAAATCGAGTTTTGGGTTCTTCAATTGATTGCTTGGGTTTCAACTTCGGGATTTTTAGATGGAGCAAGAGAAGGAGAAGTAGAAGGTGGCGTAGGCGAATGAGAAGGATGAGAGAGGCGGAGAAGGGTCAAGATCATATGATCTTTTTGGGTTGAGTTAGGGTTTTAATAATGTGGTGGGTCGGGTTTAGTATTTTTCGGCTTAAATGCGGATTAGGCAATTCTGTTTGCCACATAAGCACTTAACTGGCTCCATTAACGGAGTTGGACGGAGAATGAACAAACATGACATGTTTTACTAAACTCAGTGACCATTATTGATATTAATATATTTTTTTTTTTGGCAAAGTCAGATAATAAATCCATAGTCATAAGCCAGAAGAAAGTAAAGCGCGGGAGTCGACAAATAGTCGAACTCCCAATGGAAGGGCCTGTTGTGCCACATGATGGGCAGCCCTATTAAGTTGTCGAGAAACAAAAACGAAAGAAACATCGAGGAAGGAAGATGCCAAGCTCCTAACGTCTTCCAAAATAGCGCCACCCCGAACATGATGCATATCACCTCCAATCATCCGGCGGATCAAGAGTTGAGAATCCCCATGAAAGCAAACAGAAAGAAAGGAATGAGTTAAACACCAGTGTATAGCATCCCGTAGGGCTAAACATTCCATGAGAAAAGGGTCCTGAATACCCTCATAAAATTTCCCAAAAGCAAACAGAACATTACCTGCCGTATGATAGCCGACAAAGCCAATACTGCCTCCATGTCCACCCTTGGTAGCACCATCAAACCATACATTGATTAAAGATGGGGAACTTGGAGTCGTAGGTGCGTTACCGGGAGTGCGAGAAGGGCCTGGAGCCGCAGAAACAGTGCCACCGAGAGGTTGAATCGAGGAATTGGGCCCTAACGTCCTCCATTCACCCACCTGGCGTTGAAACTGCCGAAACAGAGCTGAGGGGAGATATTGGATGCCCTCGTGGACCGACCAACACCTCCCCTTCCAAAGCCGCCAGAGAATGAAAACAATATTAGCTATCTCGATTTTCGAAAGGTTCATTGAAAAGAATAGATGACACCAGGCCTCATCAGGGCTCATTCCTCCAAGAGTAATGCGTACACCTTCAAGGTCCGCCAGCCTCCACGGTCCTTGAGCGACCCTGCAAGAGAAGAAAAAATGGGAAAAGGATTCTGGTTCCCTAGAGCATATAGGACAAATCGTGTCAGACACAAGAGTTTTAGTAAACAAAACTATCTGCAGGGGCAAGAAGCCACGGACAGCTCTCCAAAAAAAGAACTTTAGCTTAGGAGGGACAGGAATACTCCAAAGAAATTTCCAAAAACGAGTGTCAAACGGGAGGACCGTGGGAGGATGATGAAGATCGTACTCAGATGCCAAAAGATGATATCCTGTCTTAACAGTGTAAAGACCAGAGGAAGAATAATGCCATATCAAACGATCAGTCGACACCGAAGTAGGGAGAGGAATAGACAAAATGAGATCAACACTCTCCAGAGTGAACAGAGAGAGTAAGAGATCCTTCCTCCACGAGTGAGAAGTATGGCAAATGAGATCTGAGACTAAAGGAGGGCAATCATTCAAACCTGGCTTTAACACAGGAGGTGAAGGAGGAGAAGAGGGAAGCCAATTATCCGTTAAAGTATGAATCTGATTCCCGCTTCCCACTTGCCACCTTAAACCCCGACGTAGAAGATCTCTCCCTGTCAGGATGCCTTGCCACGCCCACGAAGGATGGGGGCCTGCTGTCGCCTCCAAGAAGCTCCGGTGGGGATGATACCTTGCTTGATAAATCCGAGCCAGAGTGCTAGTGGGGTTGTCAAGAATGCGCCAAGCCTGCTTAGCTAACAAAGCAACATTAAAAAGATTAAAATCTCTAAAACCGAGGCCTCCTACAAACTTACTCTGACAGATCGCCGACCAAGAGATCCAATGAATGCCCCTCTCCTTATCCTGATTTGCCCACCAAAACTTCGATAGCAGACTGTTACAGCGTCTACATGTTTCTTGGGGAAGTCTGAACGCCGACATAGCATAGATAGGCCCCGCAGCCCCAATCGACTTGATAACCACTTCCTTTGCCGCTAGAGACAACGCCTTGGTCTTCCCACTCCGGATCCGTGCAGCCAGATCCTCTTCAATAAATTGAAAGTTCAATGATTTAGACCGACGGAGCTGGGACAGGAGGCCCAAGTACTTGTCATCAGGAGACATGGTCGCAACTCCTAGGAACGAACTGAGTGAAAGTAACTCCTGTTCTGAAACATTCGCACTCCCACACATAGCAGATTTATGAAGATTAACCCGCTGACCACTATACCTTTCATATTCCGCTAAAAGATGAAGGAGGTTAGCACATTCAGGCACAGAAGCACGTAGGAACAGATAAGAGTCGTCTGCATAAAAAAGATGAGAAAGGGGGGGAGCAGACCTGTGCACTTTTAAATCGTGAAGCGTAGAGGTAGCAACAGCTTGGCTAATCATAGCCGCAAAGGCCTCCGTATAAATGGCAAAGAGAAGAGGAGACAAAGGGTCCCCTTGACGGATGCCCCGTTGAGGCTGGAAGTAGCCATACTCATTACCATTAAGGAGCATCGAGAAGCGGACAGTCGTTACACAAGCCTTAACCCATTTCATCCACTGGGTACAGAACCCCATTGACTCCATGATATGAAACAGGAACCCCCATTCCACCCGATCATATGCTTTCTCCATATCTAGTTTAAGGGCCATCCACTTGTCCTGCCCAAACACCTTGGTTTTAAGAAACTGCATCACTTCTTGACCAATAAGAATATTATCAGAAATGCAACGACCCTTGATAAAGCCATTCTGAAAAGGGCTAATAATATGAGGAAGGATGGTACTAAGTCTATTCGAGAGGATCTTGGAGATAGCTTTATACATAACCTGGCAGAGACCAATCGGACGCAACTGTTGCATAGAGTCGGCATTTGCAACTTTCGGTATAAGTACCAGCCACGTGTGGTTGATACTATGTAAGAGGCGTCCTGTAGAAAAGAAAGAAAGGATGGCCTCTGACACATCCGCTCCAATTTGGTCCCAAAATCGCTGAAAGAAGCTACCGGTGAATCCATCTGATCCAGGGGCTTGATATTTCCCAATGTTGAAGAAGGCCTGCTTGATTTCTGCTCTAGTAATCTGCGCAGTGAGCACAACATTCATGTCCGAAGATATCAGAGTCGGGATATTCAAGTTACGAACAAACTCCAAAGAATCACGGCCATTAGAGGAGAAAATATTCAGGAAGTAGGAGACAAAGACTTCCCCTTTCTGTTGCTCGTCAGAGTGTACCATTCCGTGCTCATCCCGGAGACGTGCGATGATATTCGAACGTCGACGTTGCATGGTAGCTAAGTGGAAAAAACGGGTATTAGCATCCCCTCCATGCAGCCAACCAACTCGGGACTTTTGTTGCCAATATAGTTCCTCTTGACGGTATGCCTCTGTAAGCTGAGCTTCCAAACTTCCAATCAGAGTCCAATTAACACCACCTGCATCCCTGGCTTAATCAAGTGCTTCACGGGTCTCGCGGATCCGTCGGGCAGAGTTCGAGGTACCTGCCTTAGCCCAATCAAGCAATTCGTGGCGCACCTGTTTGAGCTTAGATTGAACCCTAAATAGAGGGGTACCTGCAACAGGTTTAACCCAAGCATTATGAATGATAAGAGGGACATCAGGGTTGAAATCCCAACGGTTGTCATAATGAAAATGACGACGTCGCCGAGCCACCGGTTTCACAAACCGAATTAGAAGCATCCTATGGTCAGAACCCCTGTCTGTGAGATGGTGAACCTGCACATCTGGCCACAAAGAGAGGACAAGGTGATTAGCAAGGCAGCGATCCAATCTCGACTGAATATGATCTCCGTCAGATTGTCTATTGGACCAAGTAAAAGGAGGGCCAATAAAACCCAAATCCTGAAGACCTCCTGCGGATAAAAACAGGTTCAGTTGTTCTAAAGATGCAAGAGTGGGAGTTCTCCCCCCCCCCCCTGTTTCTCTGAGCTAGAAAGAAGACAATTGAAATCACCCATCACAAAAACAGGATCCTCATACGACGAAACAAGAAATGAAATTTCATTAAGCTGGAATTGACGGGAGGCAACATCACAATGTAAATGCACAAAGACAACAACAAATCGACCCAACGACTGGTGCTCACACTCAAGGAACAAGAAACCAGATGACTCAACCGAAATAGAACACACAAGACACGAGGACCAAGCGACAGCAAGTCCACTCCCATTATTCGACACACTATGTACACGGTCCTCAGGAAAACCAAGTCTACCCAATTGCTGAACAACGAAATCATCATCCCGCCTAGTCTCACTCAAACAAACTAGAAAAGGGGAATCCCGAGAAACAGCTTCCCGGAGAACAGGAATTGTCAGGGGAGCCCCCAAGCCCCGACAATTCCAAATAAGAATACTCATTTATCAACTGGGGACCGATTTGGGCCGGCTGCCTCCACCCTGTTGAACTCCATAGAAATCATACCATCCTCCTGATTGGCCAAACGAGACCGCTTAGACCTGGGTTCAGCCACATCCACCATTTCTAAATCACCTTCCTGGAACGAAGCAGCGACCCGAGCGGACTGCCCCACCTAGTCCGCATCAGCGATCTGCAACAATTGGAGGTGCGCCGCCATCTGCTGCTGGGCAGAATTCCGGCCAGAAGGAAGGGCAGCCAGATGGCCAGAATCCGCACCAGATGAACCCTCCGAGCACCCAGCAGAGGTATTCCCTGCCAAAGTCCAGACGAACCGTTTGCGGCGACGGGCGAGAGTCATAGCATGGACTCGGGGACCAAATTCCTTGGCAATCAAATGTTTGCCATAGCGGGGAGGAGCTCTAGCCAAATCATCCTTCTGTGGGCAAAGTCGACTCACATGGCCAATGATGCCACAGAGAAAACAAAACTGGGGGATAGATTCGAACTTCACCTGCGCCAGGAAACTCCCTTTGGATGGATCCACATGAGAAGCAGAAACTTCATACGGGAGAGGAGACAGGAGATCAATCGCCACCTTTGCTCGGATGTAAAGGCCGCCCGATGACGACGAGCGATGAATCGAAGCCTGCCCTGTGCCTCCCAAGGACGCTCCAAGCAGGGAGTCTAATTCCTCAGTGCAGCAGGCATAAGGAATGCCCCAAAATTGTGCCACAAGAGGCACTCTGGCCAAACCCGCCGCCAACTCCGCCGTAGGAGTAGCCCAGCGCCGAACATGAATGATGAATTTCTCGAAGATCCAGGAGGGAGTACGGACAATTCGGTCGGCGGTTGCAGAGTCGGAGAAAACAAATTGGAGGAGATCCCACTCCACCATAGCAACTGAAACGTCACACTTCCATACCCTGCCGATAATGGAGCGGAGCGTCGGGAGCGGGGGAAGCGGGCCATACAGGCGGCCAATCAAGGTTTGGTCGAGACGCAAGGCACCAACAGCAACGTCGGCGTCATCAAACTGCACAGCCGCCATAGGAGCGAATCGACACAGAGGCAGGCGAGAACAGGTCCTCAAGGAAACCGGAGACTGATCGCAGCCACGGAGCACAAATGAGCAATCGAAGGCGACCGGGATGCGATTTATCGCAATCGAGGGCCTGAACGGCCAGAAACGGCGGAAATAGGAAGGGGTAGCCGTTTCCGGCATCATCGCACGAAGGCGAAAGGCCCTACCAACTCGTCCGGTGAGAGGAGAGAGGAGGGAGCGTTTCGGGGCTTTTTTTTTTTCAAACGTATTACCGAGCTGATATTAATATTTTCCAATGACTAAACATAACACGTTTTAGTAAACCCAGACGACTAGTGATGAAACTTGGAATTTACCTTAGAAATAACGTATCAATGCATTGCATCCACACAACATATCTAAGAGGTATACATGTACCGTCAAGCACTCAAGGTAGTATATATTCGGGAATTTGTCCTTGCAGCTTGAAACTACAAGTTTCTTTTTTACGAAAAATAACCCGTTGCTACTACTACAAATGGTCTGCTTGCTTGCTCCTGGATATAACTATAAAAGCAGAAGAAAAATTACAAAGTTGTTGTGAGAGAGTTTTATAGCAATTTGTATCCGTTGGTCAATAAGAATGTGGATCGGATAAGGACGATCTACATAGTATTGAGTAAAAACTATTTAATTTGGAGCTTCAAAACTATTAATTAGAGAATTTTAGGTCTGGGAAACGGTGTGCGGTCTATGGTTCAGACAGAGAGGCTGAATTACAAACCAGACCAAATACAAACGAGAATTAACAGCATGTGAGAAAACAGAGTGATGAGCCTGGAAGGTGAAGGAAAGAGAGATGTCATTGCGTCATCATATGGAACTGTCTTTGTGGACTTCAAATAATTTGGCTGGATTAACATTGCTGGTCTCTAGCTTGTCCTTTTACTTCATCCCTGCATGCAGTTTGGCCTCTCTATCTGATCTCCAGATCATGATGTCAACCAAGGATGATACATTTTCCATCCAAAGTAGAGATAGGAGGCAGTTTTCTTTCCGGTGACGAAATCCTAATTGTGGATGATGATAGCGTGATGTACAAAACCCTAATTGTTTGGGTGTTGAGATATGAGATTAGTCAAGATCAGGGTGAAGATGATACATGAAGTGTGCCATCAATTTAGTATTATAAAATATACAAACTAGATGATAAAAGAAAACAAACAATTGTTTTAAAGTATACAAACTAAAAGATAAAAGTATATAGACCATACCATAAACTATACCAACCAAACATAAGATATGCAATTAAATATTATACAAACTATATAATAGAAGTATACAAATTTGCAAAGTGAGGCCCTGTTTGAAAATAGAAATGTGTTCAATTTTTTTATGTATAATAAAATAAAAATGGTCTTATCATGGTGATTCAAAATATAAAATTGAAATAGGAATTTAATGAATATACATGCCTCATGTATGGGGAGTTCTACAGTATCCAGGGTGAAATCTGGGGTACCACATACCTTGACTAAGAAAACGCTATCCAGAACTTGAATTGACTGATCTTTCGGACATGATATTATAATCTAACAATTAAAGATCAAAATCTAGGTCTTAATTCTCTAAATCTAATACCCCAAGATCAATTTAATTAGAAACAATAATCGACAGTTATGATTCGTCCAAATAGAGGCAAAAAAATCAATGCACCATCTTAGGGTTTATAGTTTATTATTTAGATAATTAGGACCTAGGGTTCACTCATTAAAGGTAAGGGTATAGTATCATGCCCAAAAATCCTGCTAATTCGATGTCTAGATAGCGTTTTCATACTCAAGATAGCGTTATATGTATAATCATGTATATTAGCAAATAACTAGCTCTAATAATAATTTTCGGATTTAAATTCATCATCGTACCCATAATCAATTCATAGGTCTTATGTTGGAGGGCCTCCTAACACACCTCATTGGTCGGACCTGCATATCATATTGACTTTGTGTACAAAGCATAATAAGAGTATAAAATACCACTGCATACAATACAAACAACAAGACTTGCATTACGAACTAATAAGGGCAATGTCTATTTTTTACCCAAATCTTTTCAAAATTCTTTTATTTTATCAAAACCTATCGGAATTCTATTTATTATCCAAACGTATTTAACTAATCAAAGTTTGGGCATTCATTCTGTTACCTTTAATTTTTTACTAACGGATCTCCATGTCAGCGTCCACATCAGCATCCACATCATAAATTAAAAAAAAATCATAAAAATGGCAAAATCTCTCCTCCCCGGCGCTGCAACCGCTTTCTTCATCTAAAAATCAGAATCAGTAAACAAATTAAAACCCATTAAAGCAAAGAATAGGTTGCAGAGGTCGATTACGACGAGGGCAGGGAGATATACCCATCTTTTTTTTGCAAAAGCATAGGATGGGGGAGAAAGTCGAGGCGGCGGCGTGTGCGAATGGATCTATTGGGGGAGATGGAGAATCGGTGAGTATCAATTTATCAATTGAGATCTGGGCATCAATTAAACAAGGGAGTATTTGGAGGGTTTAGTTTGAGATATGGGCATCAATTTATCAATTGGTTCGCAGCAATCCAACGGAGCGACAACACGATCCCAAAGCTTCCCGCTCCGCCTCCTCTAATCGCACAGAAAACCTCTTCTCCTATGGCCTTTCTGTTCATAATCCTGCTGCGAGAATCCATGAGGTAATCATCGATCACATAATCTGTGGCCAGGCCGTACTTTCTGACCAGAGTTCCGAATCCGCCGCCGAAGTGGCCTCCGACTCCCACCATGGGGCAGAGTCTCGCCGGGAACGCAAGGTGGGTGCTCAGCCTCGCGATCGCGTAGAAGAGCTCTCCAAGCTGAGCGCCGCTTTGGACCCACGCCATCTCTTTCTTGACTGTTTGTTGTCCTCAGTTGGAACTTGGATGCGCTCAACGGGGAAGAAAAAGAAAAAGAAAAATATCGGGGGAAAATTGGAGAAGATTTGGCGGAGAAGAATAGGGGGAAAAAGAAAAATCTCGGAGGAAGATCGAGAAGATTTGGCGGAGAAGAATAGGGGAGAGAGAGTGGGTTAATATTTATTTTTAAATTTCTTTTTAATTAAAAATAGAAATGGTCCCGACCTGCCACATTGGCTTCCAACTCATACTGGTGTTGCTCAGTCAACAAACATAACGGAACAGTTAACGGTGGGGTAACGGTTGGATAATAAATAGAATTTCGGTAGGTTTGGATAAAATAAAAGAATTTTGAAAAGATTTGGGTAAAAAATAGACATTGACCAACTAATAAATACATAGTATATAAATTAATATCATAAAGTATACATACCACAAAATAAAAATATTCAAATAAGATTGGCAGTAGATATAAAACATATTAACAGTATAAAATATCACTTCATACAATACAAACCAACATTACTAGCATTACAAACTAATAAAGCAAGGTGTCTAGCTGAGGTAGCCACCCAACTAGGTATCAAACAACCGTGGATGAATCGGCCAGGATGCCAAGCTAAGGGTGCCAACCTAATGAGGAGGTGACAAGTTGGCCATCTGAGGTGACTACCCGGCTGGGTACCAAATCATCATGAACAAGAAGTAGAGCCACTTAGGGGGCTATATGGAGACTAAGTCCCAAGATGGGTTTGGTGGCTCCCTAACGGAGTACCAAGCCGACAGGGTGCAAGGTATCAACTTGATAAGATTGCAGAAACTAAGTATCGAGACCAAGCCAGCAGGACTGGCTTGGTAGCAAGGGTATCAAGCCGACAAGATTGTGCTTGGTACCAAGATGACAAGTTGGTGCAATGACAGTATCTCTAAGACTAAGCGTGGATACCTTGGGGGTAAAGGGGCCAAGTTATCAACCTGTCTAGGTGGGTAATATGGCCTAGCTATCAAGACGGTTCATCGAGGTGGCTAGCAAGATGAGGAGCGTGGAGTCGTCAGGGCTATCGAAGATGTGATCAAGACTTCATCATGGAGGTTAAGGCAAAGAGGATCAACATCAACCCGGCCTGGCATCGAGTCGAGACCATCAAATACACACCAGCCCCAAGACGGGACAAGGGACCCCAAGGCGACGGTTACCAACTAGTCACCAAGGCGGTGACAAGGGGCCCCGAGGCGGTTTGGAGCTAGAGGTTAGCTAGCAGTTACCAATGCGGTTACCAAGGCAGTTACACCTAGTGGTTATAAATAGGAGAAACTAAGATTGTAAACAAGTTCCATAACCAAACATTTGACACCACATGTCAAACTTTATCCTTTTCTCAATGTAGCCATAATCGTATCTTTTAGTTTTTGGAGCTCTCACTGTCACTGAACCTCCATAATAGTCGGAGTAATTAACGTAGTTTATCCCAAAAAATCATCAAAAATATTAATCACCCTTGTTCGAACATTGTTCGGAGATATGTGAAATGTGTTTAGAATTGTTGTTCAAGAAGTCAAAAGTGCAAAGCATTAATATCACACCAAAGTTTTCCTCGCCGGAAAATAATTATTTTGGCCTTAATTGTTTACTCATATTCTCGTGTGGGATGGGAAAGGAAAGGATGAATATGCTGAGTCGAGAATTAACAGCATGTGAGAAAACAGAGTGATGAGCCTGGAAGGTGGAGGAAAGAGAGATGTCATGCGTCATCATATGGAACTGTCTTTGTGGACTTCAAATAATTTGGCTGGATTCGCAGCTAATTAAGCTAGGTTGTGTATAATATGAATACAGATGTCATGATGCGTAACATTGCTGGTCTCTAGCTTGTCCTTTTACTTCATCCCTGCATGCAGTTTGGCCTCTCTATCTGATCTCCGGATCATGATGTCAATCAACCAAGGATGATACATTTTCCATCCAAAGTAGAGATAGGAGGCAGCTTTGCTTTCCGGTGACGAAATCCTAATTATGGAGGATGATAGCGTGAATGTACTTTTCAATTTTATGGTACAAAACCTTAGAGGTCGTTTGCTTCAAGGATTTGGTACATGGATTTGGTACCAAAAAACCAACTATCAAGGATTTAGGTACAATCCGTTGTTTGCTTCATCCAAATTTGTTGAAATAAATCCGTGGGGCCCACGGATTTGGGTTTTTTTTTGCCCCAAATCCGTGGGCCCCACAGATTTATAAATCCCACATGCTTATTAGGGATTTGGCTAGCTGATGAAAAACCAAGAGCGAAAATGACACTCATATCCCCATTATTTTTCATTAAACCAAAAATACCCTCTCTATCCCTTAACCCTATCTATCGTTCTATTCCCCACAGTCTTGTTCTATTCCCCTCAAACAGAGAAGCTGCGGAAGAGAAGACTCACCCGCTCGGAAAAGTGCAGAATCCAGCTCGGCGACAATCTTCCATCGGAGTTCATCTGGGCTTGGTCAACCTCGAACGGCGAATCTGGTATCAGGGACTTAACGGGCTTGCAATGAGCCTCAGGGAAATTTACGGCTGGCATTTTCCAGAGCTCGCTAAGATTGTTAATGACAACGTTGTCTATGCTAAAGCTGTGAAGTTGATGGGTTTCCGTGAGAACGCTGCAAAACTTGATTTATCCGAGGTATGTACATCTGAATCTTGGCTCCTTGTAGGTATGTACCTCTGAATCTTGACAACAAATCAACAACTGCATTTTCTTGATTTTGTAGATATTACCAGAGGAGGTCGAGGAAGAAGTGAAGGAAGCAGCCATGATATCGATGGGGAGTGAAATGGACGAATATGACATGGCAAATATAATGGAACTCTGCAACAGGGCCTTGTCTCTAGCCGAATACAGGCCTCAACTGTACGACTACCTGAAAAGTAGGATGAACGCCGTTGCACCTAATTTGACAGCTCTGGTTGGAGAGCTTGTTGGAGCTCGGCTGATTGCCCAAATTATTAAATCCTTTAATGGGTTAAAAAAAGGGCAATAAGGTAAATGCAATTCTTTATTTCTAAATCCCAAATTATTAAATCCATGATCAAAATGAAGAAACAAACAAAGGATTTTTCCAAATCCAAAATGCCCCAAATCCCAAATAAAACCTTAGGTTTTTAAATCCCACGTTTAAGTGAAAACCCTCATTTTACAATCCTTGAAGCAAACGACCCCTTAATTGTTTGGGTGCTGAGATATGAGATTAGTTAGGGTCAGGGTGAAGATGATACATGGAGTGTGTCATCTAATGATGACTATGATGACGAAGAGGAGGAAGAAGAGGAGGAGGAGAAGAAGAATAGTCTAATTATCCTCCAGAATTTTACTTGTAGGATAATGAAGAGTACAATGAATTATCATATGTTGATTCATATGCCATAATTCCAATGCCTATTGTTGCTGGTTTCGAAAGAGAATTCTACAAGGGGCAGATATTTCACTCCAAACAAGCTGCATAGTATACTGATCATGTGGATGGTACGTGACTATACACTACAGGTTGTACCTCGATTCTGGTAAACTCGATCACCAGCCTATAGTGAACAAAACTTATATTAATTCAATATCATTCGTAATTCTAATTTCAGTTCACCTAGTAAAATCTATCTAATATGAACTTATACTAATTTCAAGACATTTCATACACAATTATAATTTCAGTTCAACTAGTAAAATATATCTAATCTAAACATCTATCTAATCTAAACTTATACTAATTTCAAAAAAATCATACGTATTATTATTTCATTTCACCTAGTAAAATCTATCTAATCTAACTATCTAATGAACTTTAAAGAAAATTTGTTGTGAAATACTTACCTAATTTGCCCAAACTGTGTCGGCAACGTGTTGACCATGTGCCCAAAGAAGTACTGAATCGACCGGAGCTGTATCAATTGTCGCAGATGGTCGCCTCATTGAATAATTATCCAAAATTCTAGGAGCTGAAAACAACAAACAAAACAAAATTAATAAAAAAAACAGAATAGTAACAACACGTTGCCGACGAGAATCTAGTCGCCGCCGGCGAGGAACTTTACCTCGGTACCGGCCGCCGCCACTAGCTCGCCAACCTTTTCCACGACCTCTTCCTCTTTCAGCGACCTCTTCGCCGAAATGGTCGGAGTCTGACATCCTCCTCTGAATCTGGTGTTGGGAGGCTCGCATAAGAAAATGGAAGATAGGAGGATGTTCTGGAGGATCCGCATAAGCTGTGGGTAGGAAGAGTAATCGTGACGCGGGTTAGCTGGTGGAGGGAGGAGAAAGGGTGAGGCGGGTCCGTTGTGGCTGGAAGAAAAAGGAGGAAGGGGAAGACGTATACGCGCGAGGTGGATATAAGTGGTGGTGGGTTGGTCTGTGTGGGTAAGGTAGGTGGGAGAGTGTTTAAAAATATGAACTATAGCTGAGATGGAGTTAGTCAAGTGACTAAGAACCTCTCTTAATCCCTACATCTAAACCAGACGACCATACAAATAATTTAGCCAATTAGTTTTACCAAATATATAAATGGAAAGTATCATTAAGTGGGATTGGCCATAATTTTGCATACAAAATGTTTAAGTTATTTTTAGACGGGTTATCTTAGTTTGACCCGAACTATACACAAAATTTCTACTTTGGCCCGAACTATACACAAAAATTCTACTTTGGTCCGTGGTTTCGAAAATTGTTTTTCTGGCCTGAACTATGTATCATACTTCATTATTTGGCCCGGAGGCGAGTTTGACCGTCAAATTGGACGGTCAACGAAGTTGACCGTTAGTCAATGGCCAGCTCACTTGCCACGTTAGTGAGTAGAGAAATATAAAATTAATTTTTAGATTTTTTGTATTCTTTTTCCTTTATAATAATAATAAACAAAAAAATCTTGAAACCACAAGAAAAGATAAAGCTATGGCTGAGCGTCCATCTGCCGAACCGAATCCCTAATTCTTTGTGCTCCACACAATCCAGGCGGCGAGAGAGTACAATTCGCCATTTTTCACACTGCAGAGGCGACAATCCGAAGCAACACATTCGCCATCCCCAAAGGTGAGAGAGAGCACTTGAGATGGTTGTTCTTGTGCATCCTCCGCCGCAGCTCCCGCGGCGGCGTTGTTGGCCTTTTGTCTTTTACGCGCCCCAGCGCGACTCTCTCACCTCTCCCGCTCGCTCTCCCTGTTGTTCGCTCTTCGTCTCCCGCGATAACAACCGTCAACGCCAGATGGAGGAAGCATCAGCGGAGGCAGCCGTTATGCTGCGAAGTGGCGGTCCGATCGTTGAGCAATTCGGCGACGTCGTTGGAGCATAGGATCGGAGCGAGGGTACGGGTGACGGCGCAGCTGAAGGTGCACTACGTGCCTCGCGTGCCGGAGGTGGATCTAATGGGGAAGGATAGGGTTTCGGGGAAGAAGATGGGCTTGGACGATTGAGGAAATTATTTCCCGATGTGGGGGATAAGGTGAGAGGAGAGGGGAGGGGATAATTGGGGGGTTTTAATTTTATTATTATTATTACTAGCCTATTGGCAGGCCCGTTGGCCGCATTTGTTTAAGGAAATGGAGTTACAATATCTATAATGATAGTGTCGAGAAATGAGTCTTGTTTTATATTATCATAAAATTGTTGCAATTTTGCAATTTGTTGAAGACGAACATGTAATATGAATGAACATTCATAATAAGTTAGAAATACATTTGAAGATTAGCTAATCACAATAAAAATACTTACATGAAATTTTACTAATCACAAATCTAATCTAGTTGAGTATTACGACAAATAACATGCAAGTCCAAAATAAGAAAACTCAATACATTGTCTCATTGTTCATGACATGGTACTCAATTCAACAAAGGCAAAAATAATTTCACCAACACAAGTTCACAATAACCAAATGCATCGTTCCAGGGACCGACTGTGACCATGACTTCAAATGTCTGTTCTCCAAGCATGTTCAGAAGGGCCATATAGTCAGCATTGACAACATCTGCATGACTGAATACAGATTCAACAATCGTTCGTAACTGTGATGACGGGAAGACGATGTCAACACCAATGAATTCGTCCTCAATTGTGAGGTGGACGAAATGGATTCTGGATGCAGGGGACCAGGACGTCGTCAAATTCGTTACACGTCCGGATAACAAAAAAGAGGTGCCCTGATGTAAACACAGAAACGAATATTGTCAAAGCAAATCGATAAAATGCAGCATGCCACAAAAGGCGTACGATTAAAAAGAAATTTATTTGTTTAGTTACCTGATTTTCGACATCCACTTGCAACATAATGAGATCGATGGTGTCGGCACACTCACAAATTTCAAGAGCATCATCATATTGCAGATTAGCAATAAAATCATGGGGAAGCCTATATATTGGACTGTAAGTTTTGGCATTAAGTAGTGAAAAAGAATCGAAATTACATGATGTAGTATTTGTTGGATGCATGAGCAGTACTTACTTATTGAATTGAGGCAGGCCCGCCATATTGAATGCAATTCGCACGGTCAATGGAACCGAAGTGTTTTGTATGGGAAGTAGTAAACGGAAATTGTAACATGAGAGAAAGTGGTATCTCCATTATATAAAGGAGAGAAAGTGATTTTACACACATGATTTACTTGGCCGCATGCAGTGGAGTACGTGTGTGTGTGGAAAGTGGGATAGTGGGGGAGTGGAGAAGGATTTGTGGCCTCGTGGGGGAGTGGAGAAGGTTGGCCATTTAGCAAACCCAGTTTCATCAATAGTTGTTTGAGAAGAGTATTCCTTGGGGTAATGCTTACTACATTTCCCATTCTTCATGCACACATTATTAGGACGTACTGTACCACACGGGCCATGCATCATTGAACTTGTGACAACTGCATACAGTTCAGGATCAAGATCAGGATCCGGAATTTCAGCACATATTATGGAATCAATAGCCGCAGGACCATGGAATTTATTCTCCGAGGCCAAAAAAAGCAATATGTGTGCATGAGGGAGACCCCGCTTTTGCCATTCAATTGCTTTGACATCTGTACAGCAAGATGCAAATAGTGGAAAAGGAATATTAGTCCAATGAGGTAAGAGAGTAATGGATGAACATTAATAGATAAATAACGAATGAATAAGCACACATACATGCATTGATTTTCCCAAATATTTGTTTCTCGCGAATCTCTAACATAAACTCATCAAGCTTGATTTTGAAAACTCTGGCGGTGATGTCAGCCCGGTCAGGATCTTTGCCACTGTACCTTCTAATCAAATCAACCATTAACTGTATCTCTGGCCAGTTAGAATTGCAAGTGAATGTTATAAACAAATCAGGATAACCAATCCACTTGCAAATAGCCATCGCATCCTGAAAATTCTCATACTTGTATCTTGGACTACCAGTGTGTGAGGCAGCTAAAATAACTGGCTTCCCAGAAAGCTTGATATCACTATCCCCTCGCAAATAAGAATTCAACAAATCCTTGTAGTAGTGTCCTCTTAGCTTCGACTGATGGGTACGCATCCAGTCTAAGCGTTCAACCTCAATTAACGCAAATGCATTCACCATAAATTGTTGAAACAATTTACCAGATAATAACAGAGAATTCGACTCCTGGAGACGGGTTTGAAGACGATATGCATAGAAATCACACTGGGTTATCATTTTATCTCCAACACTGATATTAGAGCTACTGTGACTATAGCTAATGCAGGGATGCCACCCATCCTCGCCATATGGGAATAAAATTGGATATTGCAATGCCATCAGACTTGGATGGTATACGCTAATCCTTTCCATTTCTGAACCCTTCTGTTGAACAATTATATATGGAGAAAATGATTGCTCTCCTGTTTCATCTACAATCAATGCTGCAATCTCATTCGCAGAGGGCAAATCATATTCTCTACTATTAATTTCACGCTTAGCCAATAGTTTCAGTTGAAGCTCCTGGACACCAGAGTTTTGTATCCTATCTCGCGCAGAACGAAATGTACGTACCAGGATATTATTGTCATCAAACATATGCTGGAGGCCTTCAACAATACACTGGCGCAACAGATTCTTGGCAGGATCAGTGGAGTAAAAGTCCATACGATTCTGCACCTCGTTATCTGAATCGTGAATGTAAAGCTGTGCAAATTTCGGACTATCCCCATCACCAGGAACCAAACATCATATTCGATGATAAATCTGAACACCGATTGAATATACATAAACTCCACGACCATCATTAATAGAGTGATTGACTTTACCTCCGAGAGAAATAAAGCAAAAAACCCCATTATAGGCTCTGATGTTAGTACGAAAGTGACGCGCTAATGGTGTATCCCCTTCCAGTAGAGTTTTAAGAAATTCGGGCACATCTCTGCGGGGAGGCAATTTCACTTTACCATGTTTGCAACATAAAGGAAATGCAGGCAACACATCATTCCGTGTAGATAAAGTACTCTCGAACCGCCACATAACTGCTCCACAATGTTGACACGTACATGAAGGTGGACCAATATCAAAAAATTCAACCAACGGAAGACCTAGTGAAATGGATAAGTAATATTAATAAATTTTTGTCACAGTAATTCATAAATTGAATGAGATTGAGAAACTGTGAAGTCGATTTAGGCGCGCTACAGTAAACACAATTATTAAAATAAATGTTCTCAAGGCAAGATAGATTGGTATACCGCTCATTTTAAGTAAGAATAAGTCAAATTTCAGGAAACACCAAAGTTTGTTCATAACACACAAATTTTCCGTTGACACATCAACATCTAAAAACAATCCACTATTTGCATAAGGTGACATGAAGCGTACATCACTAAATTATATGCATGGCATAAATGGGTACATTATATGTTCTAAAACCAAAATAGGAAACAAAATATGTTGACCAGAACACAAAAACATATATCCAATGTACAAAAACTAAACCAAAATAGAGATGAACCATTTCATGTATAATAGTGGCCATTAGAATCCACATACTTTGATTGACTTCTGTAGGAAAGAAACTTCGGCCACGTCTCTTTCTATGCAGATGAATACGTCGAAGTAATCGACTTTGCTTTTGTAATAGAAATCTAAACTCCGGCTCCAAAACTATGAACAACACCAAAACACATACGATATTAATGAAATAAATAAATATTCAACAATCTTGAATAGCCTAATTTGTAAGACTTGCTACAAAATTTAGCAAACAACAACCTTGGTGTTCAAAAGGCAAGCCCCTCCTATGAACCTTCTGTTTCAAAATATGATGTCTTCTCTTACGGGCGACGTGGGATAGTATTCGTCGAAGTTGAGAGAGTTGGAATTGTAAGGCAGCTTCTTCTGCAGAATTTAAATATAAAACCATGTATTACTCATTGAATAGATGAACTAATTAGAAAAATTAAAACACAGATAACACACCTCTCTCAAATGCTTCTTCCTCTTCAGCAGATAAAACACAGCGTTGGTACTGATCTTCAGGATGAATAAACACTGCTCGACGTTTCCCTAAACAAATGAGATTCAAGGGAAAATATTAATGTCAGTTTGCATTGAAGCAGTTGCGTGCTAAACCATGACACTCACATGGTACAGACGATCGATAAATCTGTGGTTGGGCAGATGGGATGACATTTGCACTATCCATATTAAATTCTCCAATAACCTGATGCAATATGAAATAGAGGTCGTGGTAAATGATGCACCCGTTCCAGTAAATTTTGCAGCTGCCATTCATATAAATTAATTAATTGTTACAACAGAAGTTGAACTCCTCACCAATTATAAGTTTGTGCGAGCTAATGACACATACAACACACCACACAAACATAACAGTCGGAGAAAAATATAACTATATAAGGCATAATTTAAATTGATGAACAAAACACATATAACAGAATGGCTTCCAAGCTTGGGGATGCAAAGGAAGAGCGAGAAGGACAACAATGTAATGACCAACACAAATATAATTCAAAGGCATCCATAAAAACCATATCCAAAGAGAAGTTTGAAAAAGAAGCAAGCTGGCAATAAGAAAAGCACTATAAGTGCTTACCAATTCTAGTTCTTCTAACTATACCAAGCTTATCCCTTCTTTCAATTATGCAGTTTACGCTTTGTACTTTTAGCACAAATGGATTCCAACTCTAATGTCACAATACAAATACAATGCAAATGAAGTTGAAGAACAATAAAACAAACTAATGGAGTGAGATAAAACTGTCTAATGATCTTATGTAATAACGGGAAAAAAGCCTGGTAGAACCAATACACTAACCAGTGGAGCATGCTTATCAATACCGCCTACTTTATACTTCTTTAGTGATTAGAGCTGAAAGTACATTATCAGATCATAGCCAGTCCCATTAGATTAATTAACCTAGAAACATATGAGAGAAAACCTTACTGATCAAGTTGGATTTCGACATTTACCTGCAACAGAGTTAACATCAGAAAGTAAATTGATTATGTCTCATACGTGGTGGCGGGTGGGGGACGGCGCGCCAAATTTCGTCGGCGATGGGCTGGTTCTGGACTCAAGTAGGCTGCGCCTCTGAAGTATGGGCTGGCGAGAGAAATGGATCCCCGAGGCCTTATGGTTTACGCTTTCCTTTTCCCCCGCCAGGCCAGCGGTAGTTTATAGCCGGCCCTTCGGTTTACTGACCCGGAAAACGACCCGGACGAAGTACCTGGCTGCCGCCGCCGAACGTCTCTTTCTTTCCTCTTCTTTCTCTGCGGCCCGGAAAAACTCAGCTCAAAATCGGCAGTCGGCTACTCTCTGGAAGACAGTCTAAGCGAAGTGGAATTTAAAGTAAGCAGCTTTGTTACTTTCAAGAGAAAGGGAAAAATCAAAAATCCCCTTTTGATCTCTAGAGAATCCAATCAACAGAGAAGCGAGGAAGGTAAGAGAGAATAAAGAAAACGGAATGAACCAAAGGTAAGGGAGATGAATCTTTGCAACCGAATCCCTGGAAAAAAAAAAAACCAGAACCAGAATCCCTAAAACTTAAAAGCAGCGACAACAACAAACAGAAATCTGAAAGAGGAATTTACGGCAAAACCAATACCGATCTAACGCTTAGAGAACGGAAATCAAAGGTAGATGCAAGCACATAAAAGAACCAGATGATTGAGTCAAGGTTTGGTTTTCTGAAGGCCAAGAAACTTATTCGATTGAGGTGAAAGAGTGGAAGGAAGGGAAATCGGAAATAAAAAATACAAATTAATACAAATTAAATGAGAACGTGGGCCTGGAAGGAGAAAAAAGTGGGTAGTGGAGAGTTTTTTATACAAATTAAATGAGAACGTGGGCCTGGAAGGAGAAAAAAGTGGGTAGTGGAGAGTTTTTTGGTTCTGAAATCAGGCGGGACTCCTTTTTTTTCCCGCTTAACACTCTGCCACATCAGCTTCCTAAAATCACTCTATGGGCAGGAAATTTTGAATGGGGGTTGCAGTTTTACTTTTCAGCTATAAATTATACTGTTGATTAGAAAGGAAAAATATTCTAAAAATTTTAAAAATAATTTTTTTATTTCTTTGCTAACGTGGCAAGTGAGATGGTCATTGACTCAATTCTGTTGATCGTCCAATTTGATGGTCAAACCCGCCTCCAGGCCAAATAAGAAAGTATGGTACATAGTTCAGACCAGAAGAATAATTTCAGAAACCACGAGCTAAAGTAAAAAGTTTGTTTATAATTTTGCCCAAACTAAGACTTACTATAAGTGAAACGACTTACTAAAGGCCCAACGAAGCCCATGAAAGGCTTCTCAACTCCTTCCTTTCCGCACTGAAGCCCAATTCCTTAGACATAGAAAAGCCCATAAGCGTATACAAAACGAGAAAGAGAGAAAAATTGTAGGCAGCAAGCAACTGTGAATCAAGCGCTCCTTGCTTCCGCTTCCAGGAAGGCGTTGAATTCCTCCCTCGCCTTTCGCAACCGGGGCGTGATGCACGCCGCCGGCGACGAAGGATTGGAAGTCGAAGACGACGACGACGAAGAAAACCGGACGTGCCTGGATGACGACTCGTGAGACTTCCTCCGCGCCGAACAGCTATTCAATGCCCCTCTCCGGTCCTTCTCGAACACAAACGCCGACGTCACCGGCGAGTTAGTCCCGTTCCCGCCGGTCTTAATCAGCTCCATCGGCAAATCGTAGTAAAAACGCGTGGACTCCCCTCCGTCGTTGATGAACGCCGACGAAGCCCACGAACCGCACTCGAATTTCTCCAGAGACACCGTCCTCGAAATGACGCTCTCCCTCACCGCCGTCGCCGCCCCCGATTCCACCGTCGCCTTCCTCTCCCTCATCGGCTTCGTCGTCTTCCCGCCGCCGCCGCCGAATCCTGGGAGGTACAAACAGAGCGCGCCACATTTGAATTCGTCATCATCGTTGTCCATATCCACCTCGCGTTTCTTCTTCCCGGCCATTGGCGAGGCGTTGGTGTCGGATTCGGTGGTGGTGGGTTCGCCGGGATTCCTGAACCAAATGTCGAGCTCGTCGACCCCGCTCGATCTCCCTTCGGCGCACGACTTGCTCCGCCGCAAGTGAATTTCTTGCTCCATCTTGATCCGGGGATGGTTATGACGACGAGGGTAAACCGTCGAGCCTTTCCGGCGGCCGTCGATTTGACGGGGGGAGGCCTGGCTTTCATTCTTGAATTTCTTCTTCAGCCAGTACCCGAACCGCGGGCTTGGAAGGCTGCAGCTGATGAGAGGCGGCGGCGGCGGAATCTTTGGAGCCGCCGTCACAATCGGTGGCAGTCTCAGCGACACTGGGTCCACGGAAATCTGTTTCTCCATTTGCTGCGGAGGTGGAGTACTCCAGGAAGCGAACTGCAGGTCGTGGAAGCGCTCGGCCGTTGTGCAAACATCGAACTCGAGATCGTACTCGTACATTCCAATTCCACTCCTGCTGTGGAACATTTTCCCCGGGAGTTAGAGAGCGCCAAATCAGAAGCAACGAGAGCCATGAAACTGGTCTTTATACAGTGTGTGCACAATGAAATTTTACAAGACGTGGACGCCATGTCCGCCTGAGTTGAGCAGCAGTTGTGATTTACATGTTTTCAAATAGTTAGTAGCGGCACACCACCCATGAATAAAGTATAAGGTGAAGAGACAAATAGTTGAGGTTTTGCGTATAAGCCATTGACTTTCCATATACAAAAAAATGTAGAAGGGCCGTTATAAAGAAGAAGAGAATCTACTGCCTAGTGCAGAGAATTGTAAAGTAAGATTAGTACCACTGAAATACCGATGATGACAGGGAAAGCTGTGACCAAATTGCGGTCCTTTCCACTCAGTCGCATCCGCGGCCACCCAAATCTCAGTCGCTTCCCCTTTCGACGCTTCAATCTACTTTCCGTTTTTGCATTGGGTGGTGGGTTCTGCTCAGAATGTTCCAGTTTTTGCATTGGGTGGTTTCTTCCTAGGCCTTTTTCATCCTAAGATCATGGAGATGTTAACAATTAGAGAAGCTATATTATTACTTAAACAATGGCAGTTGCAGTATCGGCCAGTTGTGATCACAAGTGATGCTCTTGCAGTTGTACAACATTTGGCGGCTTCTGATGCAAACGATGCCCATGTGGGAGCTATCTTACGAGAATTCATCATTTGTTGCAAGAACTGCCGCTAGAATCTGTTACTTTTACTCCTCGAGAAGCAAATCGGGCTGCCCATGTTGTGGCACGTAATGCCTTATGCTACTCTGGCTCTTTTAGTGTTCGTTTCAACTGTACTTAGTTGCTTTGACTATCTTTTCACGAAGAAGCCGTTATATTGTGGCTATCTCGTGCTTAACTAGTTAATCCGCAAGGGTTTCTATGACAAATAAAAAGTTGTGACCTAATATAAAGCTCTCCATAGCCCTGCAACACAAAAAGTGCGTTACTTTAGTTATTGCATCCGGGGAGAAGACTGCTGACGGGAATAGAGCTTAACTTCGGAAGTAGTGACGAAAGAAGAGAGTGTTTAAGATCTATACCTGTGTTTGTGACCCTTGCGAACAATGATTCGGTCGGCTTTCTCTTCTTTGATACCTCCACCTATTTCAAAGATTGGATCATAAGATGAAAACGAAATCATCAAGGAAGAGGTTCTTGCATCTATCCGGCTAACCAGCAGCAATACATCAAATACTGGCACATAGTCATGTAATAAGAGAATGTCACAATCCCATTTCTTCCAGTCAATATTATACAGAGTGTCCCAGGTTTGAATCTTGGATCTTCGCCCGAATCCTTATAGTTTTGACTTCTCAGGCTTTTACACCAAGCTATTATGGGTTATGTGACATCATTTCTAATAGGCCAATTTTTCTTTATGGAAGTAAGTTAATTGCCTCTAAATTAGGCCAATTCGTCATTTCATCTGCTAGCATTCGTAGTGCCAAGCGATTTCTGGGAACCTTGCCCTCATTGACCTGAGACAAAAATGGTTGCTATAATTGCGTTGCTACAGATCGGGAAATCGCCGGAATCGAGAAAGTAAGAATACGAAAGTAAGAATCAAAAACAGACACACGATTTACATGGTTCACTAAAACAATGTGTGTTAGCTAGTCCACTGGCAGGAGAGAGCCAGTTTCACTATATCGAGAAGATTACATATTACAGAGGAGATGAGAAGTATTTATATTTCTCCATGTGGGTCTATACCTAATCCAATCTGGTAAAGGAAACGGTTACAGACCAGGCCCAAAACTGACAACCCAAACGTGTATCGACCCATACACCGTGGATCGAGGGGATTGCCCTCGAACCCCCTGATCATGGAGTTGCCCCTGGATCCCACTCGCTGACCGGGTAGGGAGACCCCCGTGACTTCTAGTCGTACCAGCTGATAGTCCAATTCAAGTCACATCAACAAATCTCCTGCTTGACTTGAATCCTCTTCCTCTGAAATCTCTGATGTACTCTGCTCCTTCTCTCTCTCCTACCATCAATTCCCTATAGGCCGGAGTCACCCACTCAAGACATTCAGCAAGTCCAAGCAGTGGTGTAACTTGACATGTGAAACCGGCTTCGTGAACATGTCAGCAGGATTATCCGCGGTGCCAACCTTCTTCACCTTAATCCTCTTCTCTGTTCTCAAGAATGATACCTCACGCCAATGTGCTTAGTACTCTCATGATGGACTTGATCCTTGCCAAGCATATTGCACTCAAACTATCGCAATACACCACTGCTTGATCATGATGTAGACACAGATCACCAACCAGTCTCTTCAACCATATTCTCTCCTTAGCAGCTTCTGTCAACGCCATATACTCTGCCTTAGTAGTAGACAATGTCACCGTCGACTGCAAAGTTGCCTTCCAGCTCACTATAGAACTCCCAAGAGTGAATACATAACCAGTGATCGATCTCCTCGTGTCAACATCTCCAACATAGTCTGAGTCTAAATACCAGACACCACGCACTCTGTATCACTTCCGAAGCTAATCCCCACATCAGATGTACCCTTAAGGTTCCGAAAGATCCTCATGAACTTGATGACAACACTAACAGCATGTGCAAGATCAGGTCTAGTGCATACCATAGAGTACATCAAGCTACTTACTGCACTATCATATGGGACTCTCGACATGTACTACTTCTCAGCCTCTTACTACGGTGCATAAGCTGAGGATAGATGAATATTTGAAGTATTAGGAGTATTCAAGGGCTTTGCTGAAGACATACCAAACCTCGACAGTATCTTCTGAATGTAGCTCTTATGTGACAAGAAAAGCTTATTCTTCAACCTATCCCTCTAAATCTCCATACTCAAGATCTTCTGAGCAGCTCCCAAATCCTTCATCGCAAACTTAGCACTGAGAAGCCTCTTTAACTTCTGGATATCAGACTTCGACCTCACAGCTATGAGCATATCATCCACATACAGAACAAGATAGATCATCGAACCATCCTCCATCTTGTTGTGATACACACAACAATCATATAGACTTCTGTTGTAGCCCAGCTCAAGCATGTAATTGTCAAATCTCTTGTACCATTGCCTCGGAGATTGCTTAAGTCCATACAAAGACTTCTTCAACTTACTAACATAGTCTTCTTTCCCTAAAACCTGGAGTTGAGTCATGTAAATTTCTTCCTCCAACTCTCCATGTAGGAAAGCTATCTTCACGTGTAGTTGCTCGAGCTCCAAGTCATAATGTGCCACTATTGCTAGTAGCACCCTGATCGAAGTATGTCTGACCACTGGTGAGAAAATTTCATTGTAGTCAACTCATCTCTGTTACCCACAAATACACCTTTCTTTACCCTCGGGTTCAGTTTACCCTCATCCACATGATAATAAACAGGACACCCAAAAACTTTCAGTGAAGAGTAATCAGCAGGCTTACCATACCACACTTCATAAGGAGTCTTACACTCGATACTTGTGTGAGGTCCACGGTTGATCAGGAAACACGCCATGTTTTCTACTTCTGCCCATAATCCTCTCTTTAGTCCAGCATTAGAGAGCATGCATCGTGCTCTCTCCAACAATGTCTGGTTCTTCCTTTCTGCAACGCTGTTCTGCTGGGGTGTATCTCTAACGGTCCGATGACGGGCAATCCCTTCATCTTTGCAGAATTCGTTGAACTCATAACTGCAAAACTCCATATGCCATTGTCCACCAATGTCTTCCACTGCTTCTTGCTCTTCTTCCCGGTTTGATTCTCCACCAATGTCTTTCACTGCTTGAACTTCGTGAAAGCCTCACTTTTCTGTTTTATCATGAAAAATCCAAGTACATCTCGAATAATCATCAATAATAGATAGAAAATACTTGCTGCCTCCAATGAATTCAACTCGTGAAGGACCCCGACAGTTGGAGTGGACGTAATCTAGTATCCCCTTTGTCTGATGGATACCTTTCTTGGGAAAATTGCTGCAATGTAGCTTCCCAAACACACAATACTCACATAATTCCAAATTCTGCACCTTGTACACACAAAGAAGATCCCTCTTTGGCAGAACTTGCATCCCCCTTTCATTCATATGACCTAGTCTCATGTGCTAGAGAGTAGTCATATCTTCCTGATGAACTTGAGACGATGCAACTACAGCAGAACCTGACAACACATTTTCTTGTAATGCATACAAGGTACCACGTTTCACGCCTTTCAGTACCTTTCTTGAACCCTTGTAGACATACACAACTCCACATTTTCCTTTGAAACTGAAACCCTTGTTGTCGAGTAGACTCAAGGAGATCAGATTCTTTGTCATTCGTGGAACATGTCTGACATCATTCACGGTACAGAACGAACTATCATGTGTCCGAAGTTTTATGGACCCGATTCCAACATCCTTGCAGACAGCTCCATTTGCCATGACCACGTTATCACCATCTATCTGCTTGTAGGTTGTGAAGCAATCCTTGTTCGGAGACATATGATATGAGGGTGCAGTATCTAGAAACCAAACATCACCACGATGTGTCTTCTCACCTACAGCCAAGGAGAGATTGTCTTCAGAACTATTGTCCACTTCTACCACGGCAACTGAGCATTGCTTCTTCTGTTGCCCTCTTCTTCTGGGATAGTTGTACTTTCAATGCCCCACTTCCTTACAGTTGTGACAAGCATCGTTTGGCTGTGGTCCGGGACCCTTGGATTTCCATTTACCAGATTCTTCTTTCCCTTTCCACTTGTGACAGCCAACCCCGATACTTCACCACCTATATACCATATCCGAACGCCTTATGTCTGATCTCTCTCGTGTGAAGAGCAGATCCGACATCCTCCAACAACAAGCTATCTTTGCCAGCAAGAAAAGAATCCACAAAATTCTCATATGAACTCGGCAAAGACACAAGCATGATTTGGGCAGCATCTTCATCATCAACTTTCACATCTATATTGTGTAAATCCAATAAAATATAATTAAGTTGTTCTAGATGTTCCCTCAAAGGCGTACCTTCTTGCATTCTCAAGCTTAACAACCGTTGCTTGAGATGCAGCTTGT